CCTCCCCTCCGCGCTGCCGCTGCTGCAGCGCCCCGCCGACTCGCGGCGCCTCCCGTGTGCGGCGCTGGGCCGGCCCGAGGGGTCGCCCTTACCGTCTGCTTTTTGGGGCTGCCGGTTATTTTCTGCATCGTATCCCTACGTTGATCCTAAACATTGACAGTAACTGTTTCCGTTATTTCAACCGTGCAAATACTGTTCCCTGCGAAGTTACGGAAGGTCTGAGCCCGTTTCTTTTTCCCTGCTCATTGGCCCGCACTTTCTCACTGTTTGTCCCGCAAACTTATTATGACCAGTCTTACTCCCTACCTCCTTTCTTTTATACTGGGGATTAAACTCAGAGCCTTCAACTGAGCTACATCTCCAGCCCTTTGTTTATTTTTTATTTGAGACAGGGTCTTGCTAAGTCACTAAGTTGCCCAGGCCGGCCTGAAACTTGCAATCCTCCTGCCTCAGCCTCCCAGAGTGCTGGGATGCAGAGGAGCACCACCATTCTTTATATAGAACCTAAACCGGTCCCATTGATAGGTCCTTCCCTAACTTCTCCAGGACCAGGGAAAGCCCCCGCCTTTTCCACTACTGGCTTGCTGCCTGAGTGTGAGGTGCTGTCCAGCTGTCACGGTGTCAGTGTCCCCAGGTGCGACAGGGCTGGTCTCGTGTCAGGTTCCCTGCCATTGTGCTCAGGGCCTGAGGTCTGAGGGGTCAGGCACTTGGGAGAGGCAGGAGGTTGCTCATCCCCAGGAGAAGCGAAAGCCGAAGTGCTCTGCAGTCTGGATCCCCAGGACCGTGTCCCCTAAGCCGTACTGGACTAATGAACAGGGTTTCTGACTCCTAATGGCAGGGGTTACCACTGACCCGGGTGCTTCCCAGGGCAGAGGAAGAAATCCTTCCACGCCCCTCGTGTGTGCTGGGCACCCAGAGCTCGCACAGGCTCCCACCCAGGGGCCTGCCCAGCTTCCACCATCCCCTCCTTCCTTGTGCAGACGTCCGCCTCAGAGGGTTCCGAAACACTGAGGTGTCGCCCTTCCCCGTCCGCCTCCTCGGGGGCCGGAGGTGGTCGCTGTCTGCTTTTTGAGGCCTCACCCTGATGGTCACCAAGAGGTAGGGGCCTCTGTCCTGGTCACTGTCCCCAAGCGGTCCTCATGGTTGCTCTGAATCTCTGCCCAGCCAGCCCTTCCTGGCATCTCACTGCCGCCTTTGGCCCTTCCTCCTGCCCCTGCTGCCAGGTGAAACGCCTGCCTGGAGGCTCGCTTCCTCCCTGCAGCTGTGCCGCCATGCATCTCTCCCACCGCCACCTGGCTTATTGTAATAACAAAACCAGACCGGGTTCGCTGTTGAGGGCACAGGCCTTGAATTCCTGGACAGCCAGATGTGAACTCTGCACTGCTCAGGACTCCGGGCTTACAAGGGACGGAAAGCCAAGGGGGCGACTCAGCAAAGGGCATGTGTTGGCCCTGCGGTGCCCGGCACTGGACAAAGTATTCTCTTTCCGCCAAGCCCCTGTGTGGGCTGCCTGGTTCCCAGGAACCTTTATCACAGGCAGCTGGGGCCTGTGTCTTTTGAGCCCGAGCACTAGGAAGGAAAGAGCTTGCTCCCTGGCTTCAGTTAGGAAAGTTCCACGGGGCCACCCTAGTCCGCAGTCCTCCTTGAGACCAAGGATACATTCTCTCCTTCCAGAAGAAGCAGGACGGGACACAGGTGGGCAGGAGGAGTCGCCCAGTGCTCCTGACCACGTGGGTGGCCGGGGCTGAACAATGACCCCTCCAACGAGACCATCCATATGTGGGAGCAGCAGGGTACCAGCTCTGGTTGCCGGGAGGAGTAGGCAGTGTGGGTAAAGCTCCTGGCAGAGCACAAAGTTTGTGTTCAATAAGTGACAAGGGTGGGGCAAGTAGGGGGACAAGAAGACTTTAGTTAACTTAGAGAAGGCCGGGCGTAGTGGGGCACGCCTGTAACCCCAGCACTTGGGAGGCTGAGGCAGGAGGATTATTGTGGGTTCGAGACCAGCCTGGGCTACAAAGTGAGCTCAAGGCCAGCCTGAACTGCATAGCGAGACCCTGTCTCAAAAAGAAAGAAAAGAAGAGAAAACCAAAAAACAAAAACCTAGAGAAGGCTGCTGGCCCCAGAGGATGTTAAAACCAGGTAGTCATCTAATCACCACGGGTTTTTATGAGGGTTAGAGGAACTAACTGAAGGGCTGGGGATGTAGCTCAGTGGTAAAGGGAGTGCTTGGCCCATCCAGTTCAATCCTGAGCACCAAAGAAAGCAAAAGTATTAGAGATTCTCCACGTAACAGTTAAGACGGCGCCTTGAGTGTAGCCGGGGCTCGGTACGGTTACCTGCCGTCACCCGCCGCGGTTCACCTGCTGCCTTTGTCTCACTTCCCCATCGTTACCTGGGGGAGGAAGGCAGCCCTGCAGTTATCATTCCGTTTGGCAGTTTCCCGTCCGAATCCAGGGAAGCCAAGCTCAGGACGGCTGACTGCGGGAGCAGACTCGTGTTCCCAGCAGAACTCCTTCCCTAGACCTCAGCCGTGTGTGTCTTCCTGCGTCCAAGACAACGGGCCTTGCGTGGCTCGCCTGGGGGAGGGCTCCGCTGGGCAGAGGGGAGGGCCTGACCCGCATCTCTCCTTCCCAGGCACAGCCCCATCAAGGCAGATGAGGCATACCACACAGCTCCTTTCCACCTGGACCTTTGGTTCTACTTCACCCTGCAGAACTGGGTTCTGGACTTCGGCCGCCCCATTGCTATGGTGAGTGTGAGTCCTGAGCTCACGGAGTGACCTCAGGCAAGTCATGGCCCCTGCCCGCAGACAGAGGAGCGTAGGTGTCAACGCTTTTGCATCCTTTGGCACTGTGACTGTGGCCAGCCTGGAAGCTGCAGCAAGTGAAGGGGTCTGGCGGGTTCTGGATAGTCATACGGTATCCCCCTGCAGGGCTGCATCCCCTGAAGGGGGAGAGCAAGACTTAACCACGTCAGACAGAGGGTACGGGAAAGGAACATCCCTTTTCGTACATCCCCTGTCCTTCCCTGGGGCCCCGGGACAGCGTCATTTTTCTGGAGATGAAACTTATCTGCCAATTGTGGATGGTATGAATTATGAGCCTCAGGAAATTTTTAATTTTTAGTGCTGTCTTAGTGACTTTTCCTGCCACTGAGATGTAATACCCAACACCTGCAACTTAAAGGAGGAGAGGTTTGGGCCGGGGATATAGCTCAGGGGCATATGTGCCTGCCTGGCAAGCACAAGGTCCTGAGTTCGATTCCCAGTACCAAAAAAAAAAATAGAGGAGAGGTTCATTTTGCTCACGTTTCAGTCCACAGTGCCCTGGCATGGCATAGGGTCATGCCAGAGGAGAGCTGCTCATGGCGTAGCAGACAGGAAGCAGGAAGTCAAGGGAGAAGCCAGGAAGAGAGATAGATACCTTCCAGGCCACGGCCGCAGAGACCCCCACCTCCTAACAGCAAATCAGCCATCAGCCCCCATACTCCAACCACCTTACAAAAGCCCCGCCTATAAGCACACGAGGCTTTTGAGGGGCATCTAGATATAAACTATAACACTGAGCTTCTGGCCCCCAAAAGACTCATGCCCATCCCTTTAGGCAAAACACATTTAATCCATCCCCAAGAGTTGCCTAAGTCCTAACAGTTTCAGCACTGCTGAGTCCAAAGTCGTCTTAGAGTCTCAAAGCAAACTCTTAGCTGTGAGCCCCTATAAAAATTAAAAAGAAAGTTAAACACGTACAACATACAATGGCTCCGGACGAACATTCCTATTCAAAAATGGAGGAAGAGGGGGACAGAAACCAATGGGACTAAAGCAAGACCGAAACCCCTCAGGGCAAATTAAGTCCTGTAGTTTCATGTCCAGCACCCGGGCAAGTTGTAAGGAGAGATGTGAACTCCAAAGGGCTTGGGCAGCCCCGCCCTTGCTGTACTGCCAGTGGTGGCAGCCCTCATGGCTCCTCTCGAGCTGGCTTTGTCACTCCGAGTGGCTTTCCTCGGATGTTTCTTGTTCCTGGCTTCTCTGACTTCCTGGGGTTTCCAGTGCACTTTTGGCTTCACACTCACAGCTTCACACACTGTCCTCGCAGGGGCACACTGCTTGGCCTTCCAGGCCTTCTGAAATCTGGGTATGAGCCTCCCTGACCCCGTAACTCTTGCATTCTACATGCACCTAAAACCAGCACCATATGGATGATGCCACAGTCTGCTCTCAGCGTGAGCAAAAGCCAGGCCCTCTTGTGCCACGGCTGCAGAGGCCTCTGAATGTCTGGATGGCTGAGCACTGTGAACTGAGTCCCAGGGAATTAATGGCCTAGGCTGGCATTCTGGAGCATGGTGGCCTGGGGCTCTCTTCACAAGGCTAAGTCTTTCACTTTTGGGGGGTGTTTTTTGTCATTGTTTTGTATTTTGTTATTACCTTTAGTTCACTTGTTTTTTGTTTTCGAGACAGGGCTCACTATGTAGTTGAGGCTGGCCTTGAATTCACCATGTGGCATGGGCCCCGTGTGGCATCAAACTCTTGGCGAGCTTCCTACTTTGGCCTTCTGAGTACTGGGATTACAAGTGTGTGACGCCATGCCTGGCAGTCTTTCACTTTTGTGATTTTTGAGCCTTTGAATGATGAGGTCTTCCCGATTCCTGACGTGCCCTTAAGCCATTTTCCTACTGTCCTGATCCAAAGTCCTTGGCTTCTTTTTTATGGCTTTCTTTACAGCAACCAAGCTCCCTTCTGCCCCACTTTTCTGGATGCTGCTTTTGTTTTTTTCCTGGAAAAACTGAAAACTTTTAACATGGGCTTTTAGCTCTTGCTTTTCAGTATAAATCTGGCTAAAAGCCCCCAACAGCCTCCATGCCTCAGCCCTAGTGTTACACTACTTTGAAATTCCCTCCACCAGAAAAATTACTTCACTGCTCTTTTTTTTTTTTTTTTTTTTTTTTTGGTTTTTCTCCAGTACCAGGAACCGAACTCACGACCTTGCGCTTGCCAGGCAGGTGCTTTGCTGCTGAGCTAAATCCCCAGCCCCTACTTCACTGCTCTTGATCTCAGTCTCCTGCGCAGTCTCAGGATATGAATAAAAACTATAGACAAATTTTTTGTCAGAACATGACACACATAGTCTAAAGTTCAACTGCCAACCGAGTTTTTGGTCCTGACTGAAATTGCCTGTGCCTGGCCTTTACTGTCTGCATTTCTACCAGCATTCTGATCTTCTGAACTCTGGCCAGAATCTCCCATCAGCCTTGACTCACAGCATTCCAGGGCTTCTCCAGCCAGCATCTCCAAACCAGTTCCAAAGGCTTCTGAATCACATGGTCAGGTAGAGTCATAGCAACAACCCCACTTCTCTGGTACCAACATCCGTTTTAGTCACTTTTGTTGTCACTGAGACATAATACCCAAAACACTAGTTTAAATGAGGAGAGGTTTATTTTGGCTTATGTTTCAGCCCATAGTCTGAAACATAAACCAAAGGCAGGAGACGGCATGGCACAGGGGCATGGCAGAGGAGAGCTGCTCATGACATGGCAGAGAGGAAGCAGAGAGAAATGAGGGAGGAGCCTGAGAGAGAGATAAACCCTTTTAGCCACGCCCCAGTGACCCACCTCTTCGGACAGGTTCCCACCTCCTGACAGGAAGTCAGCCATAAATCCCTGTGACCCCGTGATCTTCCAAAAGCCCCACCTGGGACCTGGAGTGGCAGAGCCCTGAGGGCCCATGTAGACCACCGGGCCATCTCTTCTGTGTTACAGCTGGAGAAACTGAGGCCTGGAGCAGGGAGGGTCTTGCCAAGGTCACTCAGCAAATTGATGCATAGCTAAGTCTCAAAGGAGCCTCCTAGAATCCAGGGACATTTACTTGGTACCCACGGGGAAAGAGGCCAGGGCTGGAAGTCATCTCTGCAGTTTGAGTGGCACAAGGCCATTTACCTTTGGTGGGACTCAGTTTCCTACCCGGAAGCTCTTTCATGGTGCCAGGAGGGTCCCTGAAGACACAGACAGTAAGGTGTGTGAAGGGGCCTTGTGGGCGGCCTGCTGAGCACCCCTCCCGCCCCCAGCTGGTGTTCCCACTGCAGTGGTTTCCCCTCAACAAGCCCAGCGTGGGTGACTACTTCCACATGGCCTACAACGTCATCACGCCCTTCCTCCTGCTCAAGGTACAGTCACGGCCCTGCCCCTGTGTAATGGGGGGAGGCTGGCGGTGGGGGGGCTGCCCTGTGCATGGGCACAGAGACGGCTCCAGGAGGGGCCCCTGTGGCTGAAGGTGAAGGGGGAGAGGCGGTCCGCAGGAGGAACTGCACACAAGCTGTGCTTGAAGAGCTACACAGCACTGAGGAGGCTGAGACAGGAGTGACCGTGGCGTGCAGGGAGTGGCTGGGCCAGTTGGGAAGCTTTGAGGGACAGGTGGTAGGAAAGGCAGCAATGGAGGCTGAACCTCACCCCTCATGCCCCCACCCGCCCCACCCCACCCCCACCCCAGCCAGGAGAGCCGTGAGAGGGTGGGTAGGTAAACGCTGCGTCAGGACTCATTACATTCTATGTTTAGGACAAACAGTGTTTTGGTGGGGTCCAGGACCCCCCGCAGATGTGGGGTCCCGGCGGCGACTACAAGCACCATCTACTGTGCCCATTATTTTGTTTTTGGGAAAGACATTTAAGTGCTGAGTATGGTGACGCACACCTGCAGTCCCAGCTCTGGGGAGGCTGAGGCAGGAGAAATTTGAGCTCAAGGCCAGCCTGGACTACATAGTGAAACCTTGTCTGAAGAAAAGGAATTTCGGAGTGTGGTGCGGCTCAGTGTAGAGTGCTTGCCTGGCATGTAGGAGGCTGTGCCATATAATACAAAAGACCTTGCAAATCTCTCAAAGTAGGGGGGCTGTGATCCCAGAATTCTCTACTTCCTGAGGTACCCACCTACACCCCAACATTCTCCTTCCGTTTGCCAATCACTGTGCCAGTCCCCTCAGAAGTCAGGTCCCTGGGCAGGCCACCAGCCACCGGGCACAGCGGGGGCGGTGGAAGACAGGGCCTGGAGCCTGGGTGTCGCCTCCTGCGTGCGGCTCAGGTGTGACTCTGGGGATGGGCTGGTCCCTGAGTCTGGTCCTCCCAGAGAAGGGGGAGCAGTTCCACGGCGCTGTGGGGTCCCATGAAGATCCGGGGTGGGCCGGCTGGTGAGGGACCCATCCCACAGAGGGAGAGGGAGGCGCTGGTGTCAGTGCTGTGCCGTGTGCTTCCCCCGGGCCCTCAGCTCCTCGAGCGGTCCCCCCGCACGCTGCCGCGCGCCATCATCTACATCAGCATCATCACCTTCATCATGGGCGCCAGCATCCACCTGGTGGGTGACTCTGTCAACCACCGGCTGCTCTTCAGCGGCTACCAGCACCACCTGTCAGTCCGCGAGAACCCCATCATCAAGAACCTCAAGCCAGAGACACTGGTGAGGCCCGGGTGCCCGTGGGCAGTCTGTCCTGGGAGGGCATCGTGGCACCTGGGATGCTGGTGGTGTCCCCCGGGCCTCCGTGGTCGGGGTGGTGGAGGGAGCCCTGGGGTGGCAGCTTTCCGCCCTGTAACCCTGCCCTGCCTCTGCCTCCCCCAGATCGACTCCTTTGAGCTGTTGTACTACTATGACGAGTACCTGGGCCACTCCATGTGGTAAGTGACGGAAGGGAAGGGCAGTCCCAACCCAGGGCCTGGGCCCAGTCTCCATGCGTTGAATGGAGCGGCTGGAATAGCGTTCTTGCCCTGGGGGACCCAGCTGCTGTCCCTTTCCCTGCTACTTGGCCGTACACCGCCAGCGCGACACGCCTTCCTCCAGCCCGCAGTGCCAGCAGCAGTCACTAGAGGGCAGCAAGCAGCTGCCATCCCACCCTGGCCCAACCTGGAGCCTGGGGTGTGGGACCCTGCAGTCCTGGTAAACACACAAGATGTGATGTGAGGATGGGATGGAGGCAGAGCCTCCACCTGTGCTCTTCTCAGCTCAGGGATGGGGCGACAGCCCAGGTTCAGGGGAGCAGGTTGTACCTCTCCCCCGCCATTTCAGAACTCCCGGGGCTCCTTCTCCCCTGCCCCCGTCCCTGCAGGAGGAAACCTCACGACCGAGGACTCAGCCTGGGCACGGCATATGCTTTCCCCGTGCTTCGGAGCATGAGCTGGGGAGGGCCTGGCAGGGCGGGAGCACTGGCAGGCAGCAGGTGGTGAGCCAGCTGGCACCCAGGCCTGTGCTCTGCATGGCCTCAGCTCCTCGTCCCTGGCCCCCTGCAACCCCTGGCACGGGGTAGGCTGGGTGGACAGGGGCACGCCTCGCCCAGGGGTCCGGCGGCAGTGGACGGGAAGGGGCCCTGGGCGGGGCGGTGGCCTGGGCCGCTGCACAGGCCTCTGAGCTCGGCCTCCTGCGGCAGGTACGTCCCCTTCTTCCTCATCCTCGTCATGTACTTCAGCGGCTGTTTCACCGCCTCCAAGGCCCGGAGCACCATGCCCAGGCCTGCCCTGCTGCTGGTGGTACCCAGTGGCCTGTACTACTGGTGAGCGAGGGTGATACCCGGGTGGTCCGGGCGCTGAGGGAGCGGTCGAGGACGCATCCACACGTGACCACAGCCCTGCAGCATGGCCCTTAAGTGGGCTCAGCCTCTCCAGGTCCCTGCTTCCCCCTGGGGGGGCATATAGTGCCTTGCGGTGGCTTCCCTGTGACCTGGAAGCTCACGGCCACGAGTAGCAGGAGCTGGGGGGCGGGGTAAGGGTGCACGGTGCACCTTAGAGCCAGTAGAGTCCCCTCCACGCCAAGGCCTGGAGAGCCCTTGGGGCCTCAGTTTCCCCCTCTGTGAGATGGACGTGATGCCGGCCTGCCCCCTCTCAGGAGATGATGGGTGCGGGGAGAGAAAGGGGCTTCGTGAACTGTAAAACACCACGGAGAGGACAAGGATGGACCGGAGACTTTGCTCCTCGTGGCCTGCACTGCCCCTTAGGGAGGACCCAGGTCTCAGCCAGGCTCTGTCCCTCCCACCCCTGAGACTGTGGGTGTCACAGGAAGGACCTGAGCAGGAGTGGGCCCTTGTAGGATGTGAAACGGCTTGCAAGCAGGAGAAGCTCCTCCTTCCCTGGCCAGCTCCAGCCCCGTGCAGGATCTGCCGCCGGGGTGAGGAGAGCTCCCTGAAGGTGGTATGAATGGGACCGGGGCACCGGCAGCAGGAGGGAAAGAGGTTAGACGCAGGCAGGAGCTCCCGTCCATTCTCCCCCGTAGCGCCTTGGTGCGGTAATTGCTACAGCAGCAGCGGCAGCTGTTTATCGGGCAAGCTGCTGCTCCCGGTGAGGGATGTCCCCAGCGCCTGTCATAGCTTGGAGAGGTCGGGCCGCAAACACATCCTATAAGAAGAAATCGGGAGCTCCAGGATGTTGCATAAGGTCCCCCACATCACACGCCACCGAGTTGCAAGGCTGTAGCTCCCGCGCGAACGGGTCAGCGCTGTGGCCCTGGTTAGGGGCAGGGAGATAAGCAGGTCACCTCCTGGCAGTTACGCTCCTGACCGTGTGCTGCGTACTGCCTGGGGCGCTGGGAGAGCTGAGCCCAGGGCCCAGACTACAAGGAGACAGTGATGACAACAGCCATAAATCCCAGCTGCATGCCCAAGCTCGAACGGTGACAGAAACCAAGCCGGGGAGACGTCAAGCAGACAGCACGCGCAGCCCGTGCTCTGTGCAGAGGGCAGCCGATCTCTCCCCGGGTCATGTTTTGTCACGTGGAGGCAGAATCCTGATGGACCAGAGAAGCCAGAAATCCACCCTGTCAGGGGTTCTGCCACTGACACCTTGGCAACAAGCTCAAAGATGGTGAACACCCTGCAGGCGGAGTCACAATGGTGCCCCGGGCTGCGGCTTGGCATGGCCTGGCCCTCCAGCCGCGCTCCCCAGGCGGGTCTTCCGGGTGGCCGGGAGGGATGCTGGGTGGGATGCGGTTGCCATGGCAGTGCCTCACCTCCGCATGGGACCCCCTCTCCAGGTACCTGGTCACCGAGGGTCAGATCTTCATCCTCTTCATCTTCACCTTCTTCGCCATGCTGGCGCTGGTCCTGCACCAGAAGCGCAGGCGCCTCTTCCTGGACAGCAACGGCCTCTTCCTCTTCTACTCCTTCGCCCTCACCCTCTCGCTGGTGGCGCTCTGGGTCGCCTGGCTGTGGAACGACCCCGTACTCAGGAAGAAGTACCCGGGCGTCATCTACGTGCCTGAGCCCTGGGCCTTCTACACGCTGCACGTCAGCGGTGCGCACTGAGGCCCTGGCCCGCAGCATGGTGGGCGGTACAGCTCGTGCGTGCGCGTGCGCGCAGGGACCAAAGACGCGGCGCTGTGCGTGCGCATGTGCACTGGTGTGTGTGTGTGGGGGGGGGGAGTACATTGGTCGAAGACGCGACTCCTTTGGCCCAGTTTCCCTTTGGCTCGGCTCTTTCGGGGATGGAGTTTCTTTCCGGGAAGCCCACTGAGGCCAAGATCTGGGTCTTTCCTGGCCCCTGCTCCTGACAATCCTTGGGTCCCTGGCGCCTCTCCTACCGCCTGGGCTGCCTGGCCCACCTCTGATGTCTTCCAGAGGCCACGCAGAGGAGCCCGGGGGCACAGAAACCTGGCTCTCCTTGCATCCGCCCTGACCCCGGAAGTGATCAGGCCACGCTGCCTTTCTCTCTATGGCTGAACAGAGCATTTCTCTCTCTGGGCCTCAGTGGCCCTGGACAGGCTAGAGTGGCCCAGTGAGTGGCTCTGTCACTGCCTTCTCCAGCCCGGGAGGGGTATGTGCACCCCAGGGCCTCGCCCAAGCCCGCCCCAGGGAGCCAGAGGCCCCGCTCCCCGCTGGCCACAGCAGCCTGAGCTCCGAGCCTGGCCCTGCTGCCACCCTGCCTCTGGGCACCCTCTACCCTGGAGGGATTGTGGCACCCACTTCCTGGTGGCTTGCGGTGAGGTTTTGAGTTGCTCCCGAAGGCAGACACCCTTGCTCAGTTCCTGGAGGCCCATGGTAGGAGCCCCCACCCCATCCGGTCAGCTTCATCTCCACCTGCATGTCCCCTTCTGCCGTGGTCCTGCCTCGGGAACAGGCCTCGTCCTCAGCGCAGGCCCCCTGCCTGGGCCTCCCCGGACCACCAGCTGCCTCCTCCTGGGCCTCCACCCAGCGCAAGCCGCCATGCACGCGGGGCTTTGGGCCTGCCCTGCCTTACCCCAGCCCTGCCCCTCTCCTGTGCTCTCAGGGAGCCCCAGGCCCAGCTTCTCTCCTGTTGGGGTCCTCTGCAGCCCCTTAGGGGCCCGCCAGGCCCTGGTTCGTCCCCATCTCTTGGCACCCAGGGTGGTGAGAGGTGTGAATAAAAGCGGGCACAGTGCCCAGCCTGGCTGGTGGCGGTTGCTGGCTCTGGGTGTGGAGTGGGAGGTGTGGGGAAGTCTGGCATTGTGGGCTCCAAAGGCCCGCTCAGCAGTCTGGCCACACAGGCCCCGGGGCTGGGGGGCATGAAGGGTGTAGGCGCAGGGAAGGGCACCTCATTACCTTTGCAAGAAGGCAGAGGCCTGTGTGTGGGAGGGGACACCTGACCTTGGGCAGGTCCTCGTTGTCCTCTCGGGGCCTCACCACCTGCTGCCACAGACTACACGAAGGACACACCTGACAGTAGCCGGCTGATCTCTCCGTCCCCGCCAGGACAATCATTTTCTTCCTTTTTTTTTTAAATCTTTTTAAGACAGGGGCTCGCTATGCAGTTCAGACTAGCCTTAAGGTCACTTTATAGTCCAGGCTGGTCTAGAACTTGTAACGATCCTCCTGCCTCAGCCTCCCGAGTGCTGGGATTACAGGCGTGCGCCACCAGGCCTGGCTTTTTCTGCCTTCGCTGCTGTCCCAGGACTGTTCCCTGCACATCTTTCTGTTTCTTGTTTTGCAGCGGTGGGCCTCAAACCCAAGGCCTCGTGCCTGCCAGGCATGCGCAAAGCTACATCCCTGCGCCTGACAGAGGTCTTAGTGGATAAACCATACGTATGGGAGAGCCTGCTTGGGTGGGGCCGGAAGGTTATAAACTTGGGGAGCCCTCAATAAAACTTAAAAAAATGAATAAGAACTTAGGCAGAGAGTGGGTATTTAGAAAGGGAAAGAGCAAATGATCAGCCCTGGAGATCCTAGGTGCCTCTTTGCCAGCCAAGACCTCTTGGCAGTTGGCTGTGAGTGTTGCCTACGAAGAGGTCTTGGTTGCAGCCTGGATGGTCAGTGATGTCACCGGGATGGCGGAGGAAAATTCTTCTGGGACACAGGACAGGAGAAGCAGAGGCCACCTCCGTGCCCCTCACCCAGCAGTGCACAGAAAGGCGCTGAGGCTGACTCGGGGGCCCCTGGGGCTGCTGCGTCCTGACTGTGTGAGGAGCCAAGGCTTGGTGGCTGGAGCTCGGCAGGAGCCTAGAGCCCTTCCGGCAAAGCCTTTGCGTGTGGGGGGTGCTCTGCTTGGGAGCCTCTCACAGTGGCCTGGGCCGAAGACAATGGAGGAGGAGCTCCCTCCTTCCGGGAACACTTCCCGTGGAGGCCAGGGTAGGGGGCAGGGCTGACAGGTCCCGGGGAATCCAGGCTGTGCCCGGGGAGGAGCCGGGAACCGAGGTGTTTGCCGTGTGGCCTGTTTTGTTTTGCACGGAGGTGCAGCATCCACTCGGTGCCCTTAGCCTGGACGGACTTTGGGGTGATGTAGGCGACGCTCCAAATAGATGTTTTCTATCGGCAAGGGTGTGCATGGAGTCACCTGAACCTTAGGAGGTGCCTTCCCGGCCCAGGGCCCTTCGCAAAGCGGGCCCCCAAGCCGTGGCTCTGTGCCTGCCCTTCGAGGTCCTGCTGGCTTCCCTAGTGCGCCCCTCCCCTGCCAGCTGCCCTGGGCAGCGCCCCTGCCTCCCACATTGTGCCGTGGAGGCCCTCCGCCTCAGCCCCAAGGGAGAATCAGAACCTGCAATGGAAAGTCTGAGTCTAGAACCAGCTGTGAAAAGGAGGGCCATTTGGGGGAAGAGAAGCTTTTCCACATGGAGGAGGTCAGGCCGGGAGGGAGAGCACGGTGTCTGTCCCCTTGTCTCCGTGCAACCTGAGCAACCGAACGTGACAGCCACCAGCCATGGGTGAGGGACGGGACAAGTCAAGGCGGAGCCCCCTGTGGTACCCAGCACCCGGCCTGTCCCTCCCTGCCCCCGGCCTTTGTGGGGGAGGGGAGCGCACCAGCCACTGAGGAAGCTGGGAGTCCGAGTGTGGGGCAGAAGGGGAAGGAAGAACGGGGAAGCCGGCAGGGCCAGGGGACACTCCCATCGCAGGGCCCCTTTTCTGTACCCCACTGAGCTTCGGTCAGAGTCTGGGGCTCCCAAGAAAGCACAGAAGCATTTAGTCCAAATGCTGAGGAGGATCAGCCCCAGAGGCAGGGACCCCATAGACCTGAAGAGGTCTTCTGTGGCCGCACTTCCTCCTAATCAAGCTGGCCAGGCCAGCGGGGCCTCAGCCGTGCAAAAAAGCTGGAATTTGACCCCTGCGTGGCGGCCAGTCGCCATGGCAGCCGGGGGTTTATTACCATGTCTCCACCCAGCTTGGCGGAGGACTTTCGACTTGAAGCAGGAGAGGAAACGGAGAACCTGGTTCTGAGAACCTGGTTCTGAGAGCGGCCGCCAGAGCCCCGGGATGGTAAGGGGGCGGGTCTGTGTCACCAGCGGGTCTGGTGGGCCTCTGATGGTCTCCGCCCCTGACTTGCTTCCTCTCTCTGCCGCAGGCCAAGTTTCTTTCCCAGGACCAAATTAATGGTAGGTTGTTTGCTCTTTAATTAGCAACTCCCAGCAAAATATGGGTCTCATTAGGCAATTTAGTGCACTCCTTTTCTGTCGGTGGGAGGAAGGCATGGGGGGCTGGGCCGCCCAGGGGCCCTGGGCCAGCTGTGGCAGGGACGCTGGCACGCATAGGGGGGTGAGCTCCAAGGTGGGGCTGCTGGCCAGGTCCTAGGGGAGCACTTACTAGGGCGCTGTCGGACTTGATGGAAGAGGGAAAGTTGGGGAGAGACCTTAACACTATGGCTGAAAACGGGGAAAGGAGGGTTTTGTAATTGGCAGAGACCAAAAAAAAAAAGAGTGCAAGTCTGTGCCCTTGGGCAGGACGAGCCTCTCCGGGTGTCAGTCTCCTGTCTGTAACTAGGCCCCCTCTGCCTGGCTTGGGTGTGGGCACTGTATGCAGTTCTGAGCCGTGCAGAGCTGTTTCCACGAGGCCAGGAGGAGCTCATCGGGTTGTACGAAACGGGGGCCCAGAGAAGGGTGAGCTGGGGTGCGGCGGGAGGCCCTGAGCCCTGGCGGGGAAAGCTGCAGCCTCCAAGGCCCAGCCAGCGGCCCCTGCGGCTCTGCCCCCACAGTGAGCAGGTGGTCCAGCGCGAGGCATCCCAGCCTCCAGCTCTCTGCTGCCTCGGTGCTTTGCCAGAGGACCCTCCCTGCCCACCGGAGGTGCAATTGCAGGCACCTGGGCCCACAGTGCCCCTGTGATCCAGGGCAGGGTCCTGCAGGCCCCGGAAATGGCTTTGGGTGACCTGGGCAGGAACCGGAGGTGGGGGTGGCGGCTCCCGGTGGGCACCCCCTCATAGACCCCTTGGCCCTATCTCAAGGCCCCCCTTGCTCAGCTTAAAGGTGAGGCTGAATGGCAGACTCAGCCAGAGTCCAGCCCTGGCCTCAGCGCCTCCCACCACTCCTGGACGTAAGGCTCACGGCCCTCCTCCCTGGGACACTCCCAGGAGGGAAGGAATTTCTCTTTCTATGCCGTCTGACACCAACGCAGGGCCGGGAATGGAAGAGTGGGCAGGGGTGGAGCCAGGGGGTTGGAGGCTCCCAGGCTTCCGTGAGCCAGCAACGGAGGAGAAAATGCATTCCATGCTGGACACTGGGAGGACGGCTATGTTTTCAGGCACACTGCAACCTGGTTGTTAAAACTAGCCATGATTAAACAGCTTAGGTCCGAACACTGTACCTAAGTCTAAGAAGATAGCCCTGCGGGGAATCACTCCTCAGACCTAACGGGAGGACAATTCCAATTCATTGGAGAGAGAATGGCATTCTTTTGTCATGGTTTGACAAGGCAAGATGCACTCTGGCTTCGCTTGTCAAATCCCGGCTGAACAGGAAGCAGAGTGAATACGAGTGCCGAGCTCCACCTGGCTGCCCCGTGCCGCTGTGCTGCTGGGCCCCACGACTGGGCATGGCGGCGCCTCAGCTCCGCGGCCACTTTGTCTGCAAGGGGCCCCGGGACCGCTGAGAGCCAGCGCTGCCCAGACCTGGGTGACTTCCCCCGGAGTCTGTGAACTCAAGACGAGGGCCCGTGTGGGGAGAGGACGGGAGGATGGTGATCAAACGAGACTGACTCTCTCCCTGGGCTGTGCGCAGAGTACAAGGAATGCTTCTCCCTGTATGACAAGCAGCAGAGGGGGAAGATAAAAGCCACTGACCTCCTGGTGGCCATGAGGTGCCTGGGGGCCAGCCCGACGCCAGGGGAGGCGGAGCAGCACCTGCAGACCCACAGGATAGGTGAGTGGGCTGGGTGGGCTCGGTGACACCCATGCCCCGGGGGCCCTGGGCCTGGGCATCCCACGTCTGTCACAAACCTAGAGAAACAGTGTTAACATTGTGGCCCAGTGCTGTGTTTAATACAAAAATGTCCATTTGGTGAGTATGTGCTCAAGCCGGCCCTAGGAGGGTGGCGCTAGGCTAATCCCACTTTATAGACACAGATCAAGGCTCAGAGCTATTCACTAACTTGCCTAGGCCCTGAGCCAACTGTGGAACCGGGATTGGAACCCAGGTCTGACTGCAATGGCTGACCTGGAAACGATGCAACACGGCTAGAGAACTGGAAGAAAACCACTCGTCACGTGACTGAGGGGGCTCTCTCCGGAGTAAGGGTGGTTTCTGTTCCCTTCCGTGCATTTTTAACTGCAGGAACATATAGGACTTGTAGAACTGGAAACAAGCCTTGCGGTGTTTTGTTTGCTTTTGAAAGGTGGGGAGGTGTCAGAGGCCAGCAGCCGCTTACACCGGGCTGGACACTCAGGAAGGAGAGACTGACCCAGAGGTTGAGGAGGCCGGGAGCCCTGGGGCTACCTCTCGGTCAGCTGAGGCTTCCTCACCGCCCTGCTGGGCCTGACCATCTGCCAGGGTTGCTGGAGGTCGCGTTGCAGAATTGGCGTCCCTTCCGAGGCAGGTCCCTGCAGGCCAGTGATTGGGCCCTCAGTGGCCTGATACCTGAAATACCCCCACTTCCAGCTCAGAAGAGGAGGGGTTTTCTTGGTTTCTGTCTCCTCTGAACAGGAAGCTGTGGCCTGGGAAGTTCCGGCTTCCTGCGGCAGCAGCTGGGCCCATGCTTGGGCTGAGGCCCCAGGCATGTCCAGAGGAGGGTGGGGCTTCAGGCTGCAGGGAGGACAGACTGGTCAGCAGTGAGGCCAGGACTGGGCTTACGGCCCAGGTGAGGTCACTGTCACTTACAGACTGATCACTGTCACTTACACGTGTGTCCTGGTGGCCGCCAAGGGGGAAATGTCCCGTGCACCCGTTTCCTCCAGCTCACGGAGGGAGGGGAGCGCAGGAAGGGACAGACGAGGCTGTCCATCCTGTTCCCGTGCTGTGACTCTCGACTCTGACCCTGTGTCCCCTTCGTACGCAGAAGGGGGCCAGTATCTGTGGCCCCGAGGAGCCGAGGAAGGCTACCCAGCCCAGTGAGCGCCCGTGCTGGGACCGCCGTAGGAGACGCCACGTCCTCACCTGACCAGGACCGCCACCACCGAGCTCCGAGTCGGGTGGCCCTGGAACTGGCTGCAAAGGCTGGGCAGGAGGCCCCTTGGCTTCCCCAGGAAGAGCCTTTCCTCCCCGCTCACTCTGCTCTTTCCACAGATAGAAATGGGGAGCTGGATTTCTCCACATTCCTGACCATTATGCACACACAAATCAAACAGGAGGACCCGAGGAGAGAGATTCTTCTGGCCATGTTGATGGCGGACAAGGAGAAGAAAGGTTACATCATGGCCTCCGAGCTGCAATCAAAACTCATGAGCCTGGGTGAGAAGCTCACCCAGAAGGAAGGTAACAGCGTGGCCACGTTTCCGGGCGGCCGCAGAGGGTTGGGGAGGACACCAAAGCCCCGGCGACGCCGCCAGGGTGCGCAGGCCCCGCAGCTGAGCTGGCCCCAAAGCCGATGAGCAGAGGTCAGGCTTGGTAGCTGGGGGCTGGGGCTGGGGTCCAGGGAGAGGACGGCCAGCATGGAGCTCAGGAGGGGCAGCATCCGCCGCAGCTCCCCCAGTCTGAGCCCTAGCTGCTGGTCTTCACTTAGTACCCAGGACACCCCGGGTGCGACTGTCCCCTCCCACTGATGAGGGAAGTCAGAGTGAGCGGCTGTGAGGAAGCAGAGCTGGAGACGCCCCCCAATCTCAGCAGGCTCTGACCTGCTGCCGATGCCCTTCCTGAATTGAGATGCTCCTGCAGCAGGGCTCCCAGGGGCTGTTCTGGCCATAGCAGCCACGGGGGTCCCAGCGTGCCCTCCTGCCTCAGAGCCCCTGTCCGCTTACCCCTGGGTTCCTAGTTAGGCAGCCCCACTCGGCCAGAAGTCAGTGCAGGGAAAAGGAAGAAGGAAGAAGGATCTTCAGTTTCAGCTAAATCACAGCCACCCAGGCAGCCTCCAGGTTGCTGTTTGTTTTTTTGTTTTGTTTTGTGTTCCGGTACCGAGAATCGAACTCCCGACCTTGCGCTTGCCAGGCAGGCGCTGTGCCGCTGAGCTAAATCCCCAGCCCCCAAGTTGCTGTTTGAGTGAGGTTTAATCGCGGCTCCCCTCTTCTGGGCTCCTCAGGTGAGTTTCTTCCCCTCAGTTGCCTGGCTGGAAACAAGGCTGTACCCGCTGATTCTGCAGGCTCAGAGCCAGCTTTCCACCCCAGCTGCCCACAAAGCCACAGGCACAGGGTTTAAAAATAGCGAGGGCTCCGCAGCAGGCGGATCCTCTCCCCCGCTCTCCGGGGCCGGCAGCTATGGCTCATCTTTCATGGGATCGGGAAAACACGGGCTGTCCTCGCCTTTCGGGCTCCGTGGACACTGCTCTCGCTGCATCAGGTGAGGCATCGACAGCAAAGACGGGAGCAGGGCGGCCTTCGTGTTTTGCGGCTGGTGATCTCTGTCCAAAGGGGCACAGCGACTCCCAAACTTCATCTCCCGCTTGTGCAACATGCAAAGAACATTTCAGAGGAAGCAGTGGGGACCAACTTCCCTCCTGCTGGCTGCGGAGGCAGGAAGGGTGATAGCAGAATAGGAGCTCTCTAGCCTGGAGGGACTGAAAGAAAATGTTTTATTAAGAAGCATCCTTGGAGCGGCGGAGGTGGCCACGGGGGAGGTCGCCTGTGTGAGGCCTGGGACAGGGTGGCTTCAGACACTGGCTGCTCCTGGGATCTGTGAAATGAGACAGCCAGAGTGGGAGCCATCCTGCCTTTGGTATCTTCATTCCCATTGCCTGGGCTATGAAGTGCCGCCCCTTGCAGACCAACTGGCCACAAAATAAATCAGTCTCAACATTCTAAAAATACTCAGAGCCGCCATCAGCTTCGGCACCGAGCACAGTAATCACACATTCGAGGAAGGCGAAGGGAGAAGCAAAGCGCTTTTCTCACCACCCAGAGTTAGGTGCAGAGGTGTCCAGGGCTGGCAAGTGGACACCAGGGCGTGAGACTGCCTTTGCAGGCGGCTGAGGATGGACCAAAGAGCCGAACTAGGCTGGCTTGAGTGGTCACTGTGGAAAATGGCAAGCTGATCTGACTCTGCTTGCCAGTGCTTGGGATATGCTAGTATTTTGTCTCAGGAGTCCGCCATCAGAAGAAACATGCAAATTATGTTTTTGATTCCCACCCCCTTCCGGGCAATGCAGAACAAGGACAGTTTTATAAACTTTGCACTTTATTTTTTTGGTCTTTTTGAGACAGGGTCTCCCTGTGCAGTTCAGGCTGGCCTTGAGCTCTTTGTAGCCCAGACTGGTCTCAAACTCGCAACGATCCTCCTGCCTCAGCCTCCCGCGTGCTGAGATTACAGGCGTACGCCACTATGCCTGGCAGCTTTGCACTTTGGACACAGCTGGATTTATTTTTCTCCTACTCCCAAAGTATTTTTTTCTTTATTGGTGCTGAGGCTTGGAGCCGGGTCCTCATGCATACAAGGCATGTGCTGTAGCTCTGAGGTGCACCACCAGCCCCTACCCTGTTTCTCCAGGGAGGCAGTGGCAGCAGACACCACTTACTGCCAAGTTCTTTCTTGGCGTGGAGCCAGGAGTGGCCGGTGATGCTGATGTGTGTGGGGCGGAGGGTCAGGAAGGTGAGATCGGGCCAAAGTCTGGGGCGGTGTGGCCCAGCAGGAGCTGCAGGGGATGCCCGGGGCACTGCGGGTCAGAGAGGACACTGTGCTTAGCCAAGCATCCAGCTAAAGGTTTTGATGAATACAGTCACAGAGGTCAGAGAATTTCTTTAAAAGAAGCACAGGGAGGCTCCAGTGACGGAATCCTCCACAGGACACTGCCACTGCCACGCCTGGTGGTGCACACCTATAATCCCAGCACTGGGGAAGCTGAGACAGGAGGATCACTGCAAGTTCAAGGCCAGCCTTAACTACACAGTGAGACCGTCTCAAAAGTAAAAATTAAAATTAAAAAAATACTGTAATCACCTCAGCAGTCCACTGTCCTGTGCCACCACTGTCCCCGAAGAAAGTCCAAAAACTGAGCTGGGGGTCTCCCGGGGGCAGGCTGTTCTGCTCTCTGGTTTATTCCATCTTCCTTTCTCTGCTGAATGCTCGGGGAAGACTGCTGGGGAGCCCCAGCCCCCAAAGAGCTCCATGTCTTACAGCCTCAAATCCAAACCGAAAACTCAATGTGATTTATTGCAGTGGACGAGCTTTTCAAAGAAGCAGATATTGAGCCAAGCGGCAAAGTGAAATACGACGAATTCATCCAGAAGATCACCCTGCCCATGCAAGACTACTGACCACGGTGTGCGAAGGCGCCTCCCTGGGCCTGGAAACCGAGGCTCGTTAACTTTTTAAGAGGGAAGTATTCTTTTCACCCTAGCGAGATGACACACAGCCACAAGATGACAGTCCCCTCCTGTAGCAGGGGATCACTTGCAGTAAATGGTCTGTCTTGGCATTAGCCCGTGTTTAATAAAAGCTTTGCACTGATCTTCATAACTGTCATTAGTCTGGACTTCAGAGTGGAAAGGGCCCGCATTCCATGCAGTCCTGGCTCTGCCACTTCCCGGCTGTGTGATCTGGGCAGATCACTTCACTATCAGAGCCCTGGGGTGCTCACAAAAGCTGGGTTCCTGCGCCTACACTGCAGGACCCCCTGAGCATGGATGGAGATGGTGACTTGGCACCGGCAGAGCTGTGGAATCTGAATTCCAACGGCCGTGCTCCTCCTAGAAAGGGCAGTGCCACCCTCCAGAGCAGCACGCTGGGGATTTGGGTGCCAGAACCACCTTTTGTATTTCCCAGACAAGGGCTGGGGGGGTCTGGCTCAGTGGCACAGTGCCTGCCTGGCAAGCGTGAGGTCCTGAGTTCGATTCCTGGTACAAAAAAGAAGATATGAATCTGTATTTCCCTGACAAAGCCAGTGCTAGCTGGGAACCAGCAACCCAAGACTGAAAACACACATTAATCACATTTCCTGGGCGGGGATTTAGCTCGGCGGCACAGTGCCTGCCTGGCAAGCACAAGGTCGTGAGTTCGATTCCTGGTACTGGAAAAAAACCTAAAAAAACAAAAGGAAACATTTCCTGTAGCACCACAGGGCCATGTAGAAGTTCTCATTTCCATCTCAACTGACATAAGGATGTAGTTCTGGATATATATTCCTAAGCTGTGAAAGAGGACACTTGTGTTTGAATGAACTCTGAAGCAGCTGAGCAGAGAGAAGGCTGGCTTCAGGCCTTGCATCCACACGGAAGCCAGGGCCTTCGCTGAGCCCTGCGGAGCCTGAGCCTTTCCGACGCTCCTGTTTGCAAGCGGAGGTCCCAGGAACTAGGATGGTCTGCTCTGGTGACCGGGGGTGGGCGTGACCATAAGCCACTCTCCTAAGACTGATGGAGAGAAACAAGGGGGGTAAGGGCCATGGCCAGCACGCAAGAGGCCTGGAAAACAGTAGCGGGCACCTAGCCGCCATGGGTCTTGCCGGCCTCGCTGGAGTTACACACCAGGAGGAAACAGCTGCGCTGCCTGTGAGCTCAGAGGTGCCAGGGGCTGGTCAGACTGTGCACCGCTGTGGGCAGAACCAGCACAACCCCACAAGAGGCCGGAGTAGCACACCACACCAGTGTGCGTGGGGGCAGGCTTCAGGTCCAAGGGTTTTCACTTTCATGGGTCTACAGCTGGCTGTGGCTCTAACGGGGCCTTTGTGCCTAAGGAGAAGCTAATCAAGAAGAGAGGCTGTCCTCTGGGAAGTTACGCAAGACACAAATGGAAGGCCAAGTACTGAGAACACTGCAGGGACCCGGGCTCTAGCCTAACTGCGGTGTGGCTTCGGATCAAACTGAAGTCCTGAGAAAGGAAACTAGAATTTTTACCAACAGTGATGTTGCCAACAGGAATAAGTAGGAATTCCCGAGCAGCAGAGGAGGGTTTGGGGGGTCAGTGGTGAACATCAACTATGTGGTTATGATCCTCTAGTTGGGGACCTGCGTCTACAAGGTACAGGGGCTGATCTGGGTTTTATAGGAGCTGAGGCTTATACAACTTGGCAGCCTTATGAAAAGAAAATAAGAGCTGGGTGTGGTGGTACACGCCTAATTCCAGCACTCAGGAAGCCGAGGCAGGAGGATCACTGGGAGTGCAAGGCCAGCTTGAGCATTATAGTGAAACCCTATCTCAAAAAATAAAACCCAAAAAAGGACGAAATTTAAAAATAGAATACAGAATGTCTGGGACTGCTGTCAGAGCCCTGAAGAGGCCACAGCGAGTGAGGGCAGAGGTGCTTCACCTTTATCACCTCCTCGGGAGTCCAGCTGCGGGTATGGGAGACGTGGGCACTTTCTGAGGGCTGCTGGATCTCACTGGTGGGCAAGGGTTTCAGACCCACAACTCTTTTTGACTCCAATCAGACACTGAGAAGCAACTCTTGTACAGCCAACCTGGAATACCAAAGAGCGCACAGCCGACAGATTCTGACAGTGCAGACAGGACGGGAAGGGAAGTTCCAGGCTGTCATCATAAATGTCCGTACTTTCCCCAGCACTTCGGTATGTCTGTTATTTATCACTGATGGGCCCAAGTATGGTTCTAAAGCACGTTTTATGGATGCCTCATGTGCAGCGGGGACCTGAAGTTGAGCCTGCTAAGCACACAGTGTGGGGTGGTCGTTAGGACCGGGGCTCCTCTTCACCGACTTACTGTGGCTGTGCGGGAGGAGCCGCAACCCCAGGAGCGGCATTTAGCTCCTCCTGCCCTAGTTTCACGCTCGTTCCTGAAACTCCAACTGGTTTACCGAGCACCTTGTGCCCTTTACAAAAATAAACTATGGTGCTCCTAGCATTCAAACTGCAGATACTAAACGGATTCAAGGCGAAACAGAAGCTGTGGGTTATTACGGAGCTAGTCATATTTCAGTAAGAAAGAGAGCGATGGCCGTGTATTAGTTACTTACCTCAAAGCATGTGCCAGAGTACTGAGTCCTTGTCACGCTTTGACATCTCTGGCGGAAAGGGGCTTTGGAAGCCCACAACATTATCCGCCTTCTCACAGGGACTGTTCCCTTGCACCCCCAACAGTATTGTTTTACAGAAGACAAGTTAACTGAAGGCTTTTCTTTTATTACATCTAAAGAGCTCTACATAAACAGGTAACATTCAATAAGTAAACAATTTTTTTCCAATGCATGTAATAAATATTTTCACTTGGTAACTTTTATACAAACTGACATTGGTCTACTATACATTTTTAAAAGCCATTTTACTGGTTTGGCATGCGGTATGGAAATTCTAAGAGAAAAAGTTTTAAGGCAATGAATCACAGATTTAAGTTCATGGAATTTATGGTAAGTTTTATATCTATTTATATACATTTTCCCCCTTGTTAATTAAACAACAGCAGCACACTCTGGGACCACCAGCTATTCTCCTTCCTTCCTTCTGAAATCTAAGCTTTGTGTTTCATTAAACAAAAAAAAAAAACAAAATGTATTGATAAAACTAAATTATTACTAAAATAAATTCAAATGTGCTTTCAGAAGTCTTGAAGATCCTGTAAGTTTATGTATTTAAAACTGAAACTGTTTCAAAACAATGTTTATTCCACATTAATTTACAATTGGGATGTATTTTCCACTTCACAAACTTTTCTCAAAGAAACTACTAAAAAATTTTTCAGAAACTTAAGTGAATCTTCCTTGAGTCAGTAACGATGTAGAATTGTGACAGTCTAAATAGAAAATTTTAATGCTCAAAATAAACTAGTCAAACAAGTGTGGCATGGTTAAGTTGCAGACTGTATTTTTTAAAAAGATGTGTCCAATAATGCCCACGTAGGAATCAAAAGCCACTTCAACCCTGCCAGTCAGCTGACTTCTGTGTGCATACACACACACACACACGCACACGCACAGCAGTACTGTACAGAAACACAAACATATGCACACCGTTATGAAAGACCGAGGCCACGGGGCTGCTGGCGACTTGCCTAGAGTCCGAGAATCGCTCTTTGTCCACAGAGAGCTCAGCAATGTGGGCCTGGGCTGGGGAGAAAAACAGAGCAAGTGACTACACAATTTTTTTAAAACTTAGGAGATAAAGATGCAGTGAGTGACTCTACTGATAATTACAACAGAATGAAAGTCTGAGTGACTTACGGGCCATGATACCAACAGAGGGACGACTACTAATCCATACACTTCAGGAACTCAACAACTGAAGGGACAAACTCCTCATGGAGTGGAATGAGCTAAAATCAAAGGACGAGTGAATAGTTAGGTCTCCGTGGGTCGTGACCACGGCCACTAGACAGACACTGATTTCTCCCTCCTACTGAACCTTCCCTTAGGCAGGAATAATGCAGGACAGGGAGGCAGACTGACCCGCCCCACCCTGGAGCTGAGCTGCAGGAAATAAAGGTACAGGTTTTCTACTGGATCATTCAAATGGTAATTCAGTGTCACACACAAAGTTATTGATCAGAATTTTCAGACCACTAACCATGACAGGAAACAAAACCAAAAAAAAAAAAGGGCAACTATCACTTTATCTTAGGTAGTTGAAGTTTCCATTACAATGTAAAAATCAGAAAAAAAAACCACACAAACAAAAAAAACACCCCACAACTTTAGTAATTTCTACCCCAGTCCAAATTTAGACACAAATCATGATACTGTTTGAAACTGGCCTAAGTTAGTATGGCAATAAAAGTTTTTAAAGTATGTGCTCACACCACCAGCTTCACTTAAAAAATTATTTCCTGTTTTAACTGACAATGAACCTGTTAATTTTTTATTGCAAATTGTTTTGTGACTATAACTCAGGCATTTATGTGTGGAATACACATGCACAGGAAGACTATGTAACTCACTTGTTACCACACACGCTGTTTATAAATACATATATACACACACACATATACATATCAACACCAACTTTTTTTTTTTTTCAAAATTCAAGTCAACAATTTAGTAACAGAGACTGCTGTAAAAAGGTATTATTTTTAGATGCCACATGGTCATGTGAACCATTAATTTTATCATACAGCTGAAGATATAGCCATTTTAAATTCTACCTGGATTAAAGTCGGTCATTTTGTTAACAAGCCAAAGTTTACAATGACAAGTTTATACACAAAGGTGGTCCTTCATCAATTCTGAGAATGTTAACAGCTTTGACAGAGAAAAATCCAGTCTGGAAAACCGGCATTCACTTTGCCCCTTCTTTACCTTTCCTTAAACCTACGCTCTCAACTGAAATATAGCTCACAACTGAGAATACAGCATCGGCTACTTCTGGGACACCAAGTAGAACCGCCTTTCCTTCCCTTCGGCCCTTTATTTCCTGAAAAAGTTTTCAATATATTTACATGTTTCACTATTGAGAGATCAGACTGATCCATGAATTCTTAAAAATTAATTTCCTATGTCATGCTTGTTATTAAAAGGTAAAGAAAAAATAAACAAGGTAGATAGGCTAAGAAATTAATAACATTCAGAACCAGAGAATAAAAATGGCTGATGTTTAAACTTCTTTTAAACTCCAACTGATTCTCAAACAGTAGGGTCTATAGAGCTGCATGTGTGATGCACTGTATTTCCAAATAGAATTTGGATTTTAGGGTAACTGACTCACCTTACCTTTGGAGGTGACATAAGCCTTCCTCTGTCAGCTGCACAAGATACCCAAAAGGGCTTTCTAAGCTATTTTTGCTTCCTACTTTGGTATGAAGATTTTACAAGATAACTTGTTACCCTGTGGCCAAAAAAGGTACTCACAGACTGGGTTTAAAATATACAATACTGGCAATCCAGGCTTAGGAATCAAGAACTAGGCTAAAGTGTATTACTCACAGGTCTGCTAGGCCTACTCTTTATTCCAAGACAGCTTTATTCCAATATCTCGAAAATAGATTCTCCGGGGGTATAGAGCAAGTCAGAGAGAATATGTGATGGAGACATGCAACCAGGGTAGTTGTTAGACTCACATGTAGGGTCAAGAACTTCAAAGCACTTTAAAATACGCAGGCAACTAACTTATATATGAACTGAATGCGAACTCAGGAGAAGAACGGTAAGGACAGAAAAATACATACAGATGCACACACTGAACACACACACCCATGAGCTACGTCCTGAAAATACACAGGGAATGCAGTGGGACTCATGAGATTTATAACTTAAGGCTGGAAAAAATATGCGCGCGCACACACACACACACACACAAATAAAATGTAAGTCTGTCATTTTTAAAAAATGGAAATCAAACTATCTCCCTCCCCCCTCCCCACAACAAAGCCCACAATTTAAAACTTCATACATGCAATTCCTTTGCTGTTATTGCAAATAAAATAATGCCATTGAAGTAAAATAAAACCAAAACCATAGGACAAATGATGAAAAAAATCTTCAGAATCCAGAAAAATGAACTGAAGGTGGTTGTGGGTGCTTTTTTCTTTTCTTTCCTTTTTTTTTTTTTTTTAAACAAGTGTTTTATCAGACAGGCAGTCTTAGATTTATATACAAAAGTAAAACTGAAAATATAGTTTTGTTCTCTGTACATTTCTTTTAATTTTTTCCCTAAAAAAAGGAAAAAAAAACAAGCTTGTGAACTTTTCTAAACAGAATAAGGTAGAACAGCGTAAAGTTCTCTTCTTCCTGCCCAGGTGAACCCCTTGGGATCGGCGGGCGGGGGCTCAGTCCAGGGAGATAATGTCCGGGATGATGCCGAAGACGGACGCGGCGTCCGTGCTGCTCCTGCTGGCCACCGTGTGGCTGTGGCTCTCCCGCAGGCTGTTGGAAGACACGAGGCTGCTGTTGCTGCCGCTGCTGCTGCCGTTGGTGGCGGGCAGGGACGCGCTGCCGCCCGCACTCAGCTGGTCGAGGAACATCTGGGAGGAGGCGTACGGGAAAAAGCGCGAGGAGTGCAGCAGGTCCTGGTCATCCGAGACCGCGGCGGCCGCTGCGGCGAGCAGGGAGGTGTTGTAATGCTGGGGAGGGAACAAGGACAAGGCAGCTCGTTACACACAGGAGGAAACACACTTTCTTCTCGGCAGATCGAGGTCCTAGATTGAATACACACTTAGCATATCTTGTCTCTGAAATCTTTAATGAGACATTTTGCAACAAATCAGAGAGTCTAGTGTAATAACTGGACTGCTGATCTTGACAGGCAGTTTCATATATGAACTGGAATTTTTAACACTGTTTTTGCTTGCGTGTGTACGGCAAGCAAGTCTCAAGAGCCCTGCATTGCCTGACAGCAGAGCTGGTGTCTGAGGACTGCTCGGTGACTGCTGTCGTGTGAACATCCCCGAGTGCACGTACACAGACCTAGACACACAGCGTGCTACGTGCAGGCTAAGGACTGGAGCAGCACACACGCACCGAATACACCTGGCAACTGGTGCGCACGGGCAGGATCTGTGTATGCGTGCACATCTAACAGAAAAGGCACAGGGAAGACTCGGCAGTGTCTGCGGGCACTTAACGTGCAGGGTGCACAGGACCGGAAGGTGCTCCGCGGGAGGCGGGGGAGGGCAGGGTGAGTGTGAAGGCCGAGGGCTTTACAAACACTGTGCTTAGGCTACAATGTGGTTTTTTTTTTTCAAAAATACTTTTCTTTCTTCAATAATAAACTAACCTTAGCTTAATGTAACTTTTTTATTTTGAATAGTTTGGTGTTTTTGTAATAACACAGCTTAAAACATAACCACATTATGTAGCTGTACAAACATTTCTTTATATTCTTGTTCTACAAGCTTTAACTTTCAAAAATATTTAAAAATTTTTTGTTAAAAAGGCACATATACACCAGCCCAGGTCTACACAGGGTCACCAGGACCACTATCTTCTGCCTCTACGTCTTGGTCCCTGGAAGGCTTGGGGGCGTATCATGCGCGTGCTGGCATCTCCCCGGATTACCAGGGCCCTCCCGCCAAGGCTCCTCCCGACGGGGTGCCTGTTCCTATGTCCCCATGCTCTGCTCGGTGTGTTGCTCCTCTGTTCATCCAGATTTGCTTGTAAGCAGACAATGGCCACCACCACTCCGCTCTACGAATGAACTTTTGGTATTGGGACTGGTGTTTGAAAACGGCTAAAGGACCTCGGTGAGGTCTGCAAGAAGCTTCATTATGGGTTTTCTTGCAGTTTCTCTTTTCCTGCAGTTTCCATTTCTCTTGGCTCTTTTTAGCTGTGCTGTTCTCTTCCAATTCCAGACTCCTGATTAGTCGCTTCCTGGAGTCTAGGAGCTCCCCAGTGGCATCCCACCCACGCCCAGGCTAACATCGGTTGCCACCGGTCAACCACAGCATTGTTGGTTTTTGCAACCTCTGCGCCTGTGCCAAATCTCTGACGTCGGGACAAACCCAGAGGGCCGTCTTCTAGGAGCCATTCACATACTTCTTGGTGGCCACAGTCCAAGCCTAAGGGGTTTCTTTTCTCTGGTAGTGCAGGGGACTGAACTCAGGGGCTCACACACATTAGGTAAGCATGCCACTGGAGCTAGGGCCCCGGCACCTGAGTGAGGTTCTTGACACCGTCACAGATGTAACCCTTCCAGAACTGCACCAGTATCTTCTCAGTGCCTTCTCAGCTGCCTTGGTTGCAGCACTAGCTCAGGTAAAGGTTCTCAAGTGCTAAGTCCTAAAAGCTGCTATTAACACTCGATCTACTAGCTGGATCAGAGGTGGTATTATACTGGGAGGAAGATCACCAGTAAAAGGAGAATGTACAGGAACATTATCAATAATAGGCAAAATCTCAGATGTGTTATTTTTCAAACAGTGCTTCATTTGCTGGCCCAGGAATTCAGAAGGGTACCTAGGAAAGGCAACTGGATCATGTGTGACTTCTCATGGCCCCCAGAGTGCACTGGCCATGTGTGCTCATGGACATGCTTGAAGACCTGGGGTCCTCGCTCTGCCACATGTCAAAGGGTTTCGAGTTGCTGCCTGCAACACTGCCTCTGAGCAAGACTCTTATCCAGTCCATGCTGAGGCTGTAATCTGTGTATCCTGCTATTGGGTGGCTTGAACTACTGGTGCACATGCATGACTATCCCATGCATGACTGCACCACCAATGGTACAAGCCACCCAATGGGACAGTCACGCATGTACCAGCGAGTGGCTCAAGCTAGTGGAAATGCAGTAAACCACCCGAAGCAAGCTAGCGATGAATTCAGCTGGGGCCCAGACCTTTCTTTCAACCTTGAAAACAAACACTGCTTTGGTGGTGATCTTCACGATGCTGAGAGGGATGTGCTTCTGTATGAACTTCAATCCAGGTGTTCAGATGTTACTCCATGTCTGATACAGACCCTTCTTGAGTTTTTGTTAGTCTCTCTGTCTTCAGTGAAGCAGGTATCTTCTGTCATTAATCTTGTTCTTCAAGTTAGCAGCTAAGGTGGAAGATGACATGCCCGAGCCAGCAATAACTAACTTTCTTTCTCTGGCGCTGGGGTTCAAACCCAGGGCCTTGCACATGCTAGGCAAGTGCTCTACCACTGAGCAATAACCCCTAACCCCTTCATCACCTGATTTCATTTCTAGGTCAAGCCCTTGATGTGGCCTGTTTGGGGCAATATTAGCAGTACATCTTGTATGCTTCAGGGCCATAATGAACACAACAACATGAAATCCAATCAAACACAAAGGGAGATAATGCAGTCAAGACATGCGGTAAACACAGCACGTGTGAGCTGTCACTGTGTAACACAGCAGGCTGCTTCACAGTAAGATTTACTGTGCTCATCAAGTACGGTGCACACTCTACAGAACTGTGTGAGCTTTTACACCAGCGGAGGCACAACAGGCTCACTTCCCCAGCACCGCCACAAACGCGCGCTGTGCTGTGTGCTGGGACGTCAGAAGGGCTACGAGGTCAGGCGGGGACAGAACTGTTCAGCTGCCCTGTAACCTCGGGAGGCCGCTGCCATACAGGCGGTCTGTCCTTGCTCTGAACAGCACCATGTGGTATACGACTGTACGTGGCCACGAGACCTGCTAGAACTAGAGACCTTTACTGAAGGCCAAGTAGTAACGAGTACGCTCCCTCTGCACCTTCCAAGGAGACTTGCTCTTTCTCCTGGCTACATATTACTGTTTTGAACACTTTAAATACACAATTTGAACAACAGTAATTTACTCATAACATACCTGATTGTCTCCTGACAAGAAAGGAAAGAAATCTAATCCTGTGGGAGAAAAGCATACATTAGTGTAAGAAAAACTAAAACGAAGAAAAACACTTCCCAAACGCCCAATGCTTCAAAGACAAATGTAAGACTTCACCCCTACACCACGTGGAATTTCAGAGTTGAGGCTGGAGTCCCAGCGTCAGCAGGGTCTGCTCCCTGCCAGGGACTCCAGGCAAGGGACGTGGGCCACTGCCACCTGCATCTCACACTGCCCCTGCTCTTGCCGGCTCTCCCAAGTGGCTTTTCAACATGCTGAACTTACCGTTCACAAGCACCTTAAAATCTCCCTATGTGATCATTTTTGGCCTGATTTTACAGATAAGGAAGTTTGAAGTTAAAGAGAGGTTGAGCGAGGTGGAGCAAAGATTTCTTTTCTCGAATTCGCTTACTTACCATCCTCTGCACCAGGCCTCAACTCAGTGTGTGCAGTGGCACGAGGAGAGACAGACCTGAGAGCTGGGGTGGCGGCTGCGCACCAGGGCCAGCCCAGCGCCCGGCCGTGGGAGCCACTGCAAAGCACACCCTTCCACGTCCCCTCTCCTCTCTACCTCACGTGTAATGCGACAGAGTGAGGAGACAACACCAACGGCACACGCACCACGATCTCCTAAGTGGCTTAGAAACACCACAAGCAGGTGCAGATAAAAATACAACACCGCGCATACTCTGGGGACCGCCCCCCGTCCACGCTGGAACAGACTACCGCACGGACACCGACGAACCGCACAGCACTGTGCCCCTTGACAGTGTAGTGAGGGCTCGCACGTGGTAAAAAGGCGCGGAAGCTACTTAGTGACTGCGAGGAGGAGTTGCAGCTTTGCGTAGTGGGCTTGCGAGAGGAGCAGAAGAAAACTTTCACTTTGAGTTTCTGTATGGAATTTTCTACAAAGAGCGTATGTAACTTCATAATAAAAATGTTCGAGTTATGGATAAGATGCAAATTATTAAATTACGAAGATACATGAGAATGACTAACACTTCTTTTGATAATGGAAATGATTACCGTGAACTTAAAATATATTATACAAGTGAGTAAACTGACATTTCCAATTACTTTTAAGGAGGGTCAGGCTCAGCAGAACCAAAATCAAAACTTCCAAATGTCTCAGGGCAGCATTATCTAGAAGACAGCGCAGCACAGTTCCCCAGAGTGCTTGCTGCATTTACTAGAACTGAGGAACAAAAAGCAATTCACAAATACCAAAATTCAAAGCCAAATACTGGAAACCATCCAAACACAACACGCAGAATACTTTAAGGCTCACAAAACCTGTAAGATCACTGCACTAGTTTCACCACTGGTAGTAAATGCTGGCTGTCAATGAAGGCATAATCAAGGAGCTGGGTCAGTTTTTACGACCAAAATATACTATTGCTCTTGATTTCTTGGGTCCAAGGACTGTTCTCCAAAAGGGACTGCAGAGATCATAAGCACCCATGATACTATGTGACAATACAGAGAACGGTGACTCACCTTGCAAGTCGTAAGGCATTGGTGTCATATGGAAAGGGTGCCTGTAGTCCTGGATGAGGGAGGTGTTGATGTAGCTTGTGTCTACAGCAGGAAGGCTCGGGGTGCGGGACACTGGAGATGCTTGGTGTGGAAGACTTAAAATGCTGTAAGAGTAATTTTCACGAGTCAGTGTGACTTTTACATTTAACAATAGGGTTGCCCCTCATAATAAACCCTGGCTTTAATGCTGGAAATAACAAAACAAAAAGAAGCATAGTAACATTTAGACTATCCACAATTATTAAGAAATAATTTGTATGACGGGCATGATGGCCCACACCTGTAATCCCAGCACTCAGGAGGCTGAGGCAGGAGGATTACTGAGAGTTTGAGGCCAGCCTGAACTACACAGAGAGACTCGATCTCAAAAAAAAAAAAAAAAAAAATTAAAATAAAAAAGAGGAGGACAAATAGGAAAAAAAAAAAAGGAGGGTGGGGAAGGAGAAGAAGAAGTAATCTGTATACCGAACAGAATTTTGTAGAGCCTGCAGGGAAGGGGACGGATATGACGGTATCCAGCACTTGTGCCAACACTATCTTTGGAGCATCATCACTATACTCTCAGAACGCAGGGGAAAGACTTGTCTGAACCACTGAAGCACAATGTGAGTACAAGGAACCTACTACAGAGGAAAGTCTGAACGCTTCTCAAAAATAAGCACTGCAGGGTTGGCTAGTGAGAGAGGTTAAGTATGCCCTGGCACAGAAAGCACACACAGACAAGGCTCGGGGACGCAGCCGTGAGCAGTCTGGAGTGAACAGCTGGCCTCCAGACTGGTAAGCCTGATGAGAATAAAAACTGGGTAGTTTGTCTCGGTGCACCCAACCCAGCACAGTCGTCAGCGCGTTCTGTCACAGAAGCCCTGCTGAATCCAGTGAAGGCAGCAAGACAACGTGGAGAAATGCTCCCAAACGTACAGGGAAGAGTTTTTAGAATAACTGGAAAAAGAAAGAAGAAAAATGGCGGACCTTCGAAAAATAAAGTGAAATATTTAAATAGTTGGGAAATGAAATCTTTTTCTTTACCAAAAATTAAGAAACGCAAGGGTTAAACTGGGTGTGGTTTCACATGTCTATAATCCCAGCACTCGGATCCCTGCAAATTTTGGGCTACATAGTAAGTTCAAGGCCAGTGTGAACTACATAGCAAGACCTTGGAAGGACAGGAAAGACAGGAAAGACAGAAAGACAGAAAGACAGAAATACAGCAAGAGAGACGGAAAGGAAAGGAGACAGAAAGACGAGAGAGACAGAGAAAGAGAGAGAAAAGAGAAAGGGGGAGGATGGAAAAAAGGAAGGAAGAGGGGAGGAAAGGAAGGAGGGAGGGAGAAGAGGGCAGCGGGCAGACAAGGGTCGTATGTTAGGCAAACCGTCTAAGAGACTGCCTGTTACAGAAGCTATAAAAAATAAGGGAAATGAAGAAATAAAGCAACTGTCTCTCAATACTTCATATAAAATACGCGGGGCGTGGGGACGGAATTTCAGTGATACAGAGTACTTTCACAAGATGCCAAGGCTGGGTTTCGAGGGGCAGAGTTCTAGTTATGACCATCTAGCTTGTCTTTATGAATGGGATATGAAGCAGAAACAGTCTTATCTGCCTCATAAGAGTTTCATCACGGAAACTTAAACCTTTTGCATCTATAAAAAGCACAATGTTCCACTGGCTCTGTGCTCTGTCAGTGCCTAAGGGATTACGTAAGAGACGAAAGCTACTGAAATGCCAGTCTTAGAAAACATCTCGGCATACCACGCCGTGTGGGAACTTCTGTAAAACTCAGCTACTGAAGACAATAACATGTTTTACACTTTAGTGGTGTTTACCTCCTCCCAGTATCTAGACGCTGCTTTTCTTTCCTGTCTGTCACACTGTTTTAAAATGCATTTGCACTTCTACACTGCACAAAAACTACGCTGTGCTTAGGTTTCTAGTTACCGGCTACCACTACTCTGCAATGGCTATTAGTGCTGACTATGCTGTTATTTTCCTTCTAAAGAGGTTGTAAATGTTCAGGTCTCTTTGTTTTTATCGGAAAACAGAAAAATCTGACATTTGTAATGCTATGTCTGGATTCAATTAGTCTCTAGGAAATTCAGGAAGTAGTTAATGTTTCTAATATAATTTTCAAAACATAATAAACACAGCCATTTTTGGAGAATCAGAAAAGTAAATACCCGAAGAAGAAATACTAGATTTCCAAATACTTCAAAATTTTTCTTAAGGATAAAATACAGTCAGACAGTAGAACTATTTCATAGATTACATGTATACAAATGACTATTAATATTCTAAAGAGTCAAATATGATGCATTTAAACCAAAACTATTTATACACCTATTTTATGAAATGTTTTAATGTTGCAATTATGGCATTAACAAAAATCTGCAGGAAGTATTTTTAGAACACCCCCCACACACACACCAAAATCCAAGGATGACCAAGTTCCTTACCTAAAACGCTATGGTATTTGCAAATAACCTAAACACATCTTCTCATATACAAGAAATCATGTCTAGATTCCTTATAAACCCTAGTACTCTGTACATGCTATGTAAATAGCTGTTATAGTGCACTGCTTAGGGAATGACAACAGGAAAAAAAGTCCATACATGTTCGGCACAGCTACATTTTTTTTTCCTGAAAATGTTCAATCTGAGGTTGGTTGGAACCATGGATGCAGAACACATGGATACAGAGGGTGAACTCTGTACTGGTCATACTATGGATTATTATTTATAAGTATCTTCTGGTGGGGACACTGCTCAGTGGCAGAGTGCTTGCGGAGCATGCAGGTGGCCCTTTGTTCAATCCTCAGCACTGACATAAAAAAAAATCTTGGAACTAAAATTCTGCCGATAGTTGTTCTAACTATGCCAGTTTCAGGTAACTTGACTGTTCTTTTTGTCCAATTCAGGGCATAAAAATAAAATGAGTCCTGCCAAGTAACAGACATCAAGGCAGGCTTTCCTGAAAAATGTTTGCAGAGCAGGATCACTGATATTCATTGTATTTAGAACAGTGACACTGCTCTTAGTGTCTCCTGGCCACCTGGCTGTCTGTATGCTGAGATGAGCTACTGTGAAATGAAGTTAACAAACTGGTTAATATAGCCGACCAAAGTCTTTCTGTCTTATCATGCAATACCAACCCTGAAAATGACTGGACTCCAAGTACAGAAATACTCACTCTTGGTCTGGTATAAACTTTCCCTCTTGAACCTTGAAAGCTTTAACAATGTCGCCTATAGACTTTCTCGCTCCTCTTTCTCAGGTGTTGCTTGTAGGAAGATTTTTTGAATAGCTCCTATTCAGCTACAAAAGGCCACATAAGTCCCCTAATATACACATTATTTTTTTTTCCTTGAGGCAGGGTCTTGTTTCATAGGCCAGGCTGACCTCAAATCTCTCAATCCTCCTGCCTCAGCCTCCCCAGTACTAAAATTACAGGTGTGTACCACCACACTCAGCAAAAGCAGTGTATTTATTTCTACGTTCACTGTTAGTGTGCTACAATTATGCATCTGCAAAAAATAAAACCTTTTTGTTGAGAAATGCTGGTATGTTTATGGGTTAACAGTCTCTTTAGGAGTACAGCTAGAGTTCTGCTCCTTGCTTTACCAACCCCTACAGAGTATTCTAGTCTTTAAGGCTAGGACTGTACTTACTCATTCTATTAGATCCATGCCCAGCCTAAGTTTTTTTCTTTCCTTGACACAAGGCCTCACTACGCTACCTAGGCTGGCCTTGAACCTGGGATTCTCCGTGCTTAGCCTCCAGAACACCTGGCATCACAGGAATGTGCCACCGCATCCAGAGTAACAGAGTATTCCACACAAAGTATGTAATGGCATTTTACGAACTGAACTGAAGCGTAATTATTTTCCAGCCTTCAGCAAATGTTCTAAATCCCACACACAATGTAAGAATCACTTTATTAAGGTGAAATCCATCTTATTAAGGTGAAATCCAAATTTTCTATGTCTCTACTTCTGGCTTGGGACACAGAGGCGCAACAAGTACTTTGATACGCTCTCAGTGATTCTGATGTACACCACACTTTAAAATCATTGTGTGTACTAGACACACTCTGTGTATCTTTCGATATGGCCAATATTATACCTAAGAGGCCCTTTTAATGTGAACGCATCACCCCAAGCTTTCAAGAATATCACGCACTTGGGAAAAATACAACCTAACTTTTACAATCAAACATCATTTTATGTGGCAGGGCTTTAATCCCTGTTTACCAAATTACATTCACAACTTCTACGGGCAGTGGGGCCAGCACTCACCCTTTATTGTTTAGTGGAGAGGTGGGAGAAAGGGAAGGACAGGTTCTCTTGGCAGATGGCTCCTCCTCCTCTTCATCAGACGAGCTATCTATGGTTAAGTCAATCACCTCGACTTTCTTGTTTTTATTGGAGGACTGGTTGTGAGAAGCCACCTGATGTTCCAAAGTGGAACTCAAGCATCCTGCGTGGGAACGGTTACAACATGAGGCGAATAAAGCACACACCCCTCGGTGTCCCCTCCAGCTACCCGTGCACATCCACCACGATGCTGCTGAGTCCAGACAGCGGGAAACCTACTGCTCTGCTCTACTACATGTAAAACCACTCTTTATTATGGGCTGTTAAAGGATTATTTTGGAAAACAATTTTGAATTAAGATAATCAAAACGTACATTCTGTCTTTTTCATAATAAAAGGAGTTTGAGATCAAAAACTGTGTATTGAACGTATTTATCTGTATAGTACCTGACATACTTAGGAAATACTAACATTCAAAAAAAACCCACCCAGGGCCAGGGATTTAGCTCAGTGGTGCAGCACCGGCCTCGCAAGCGTGAGGTCCTGAGTTCAATCCTGGTACCTGCCCACCCCCACCAAAAAACATTACAAGTCCCCAGTACCATTCCCAATATCTATCTCTATCTTTATTGAGACACACACACAGACACACACACACACACAGACACACAGACACACACACACACACACACGAAAAAGAAGCATCAGCTACTCTGTACCGAACCCTAAAATTTCAAAGGACACTGTCTCACTAGTATGACTTTACAAATGATTTAAGTCTTACCATCAACTCCATTGTAAGAGGCAGAAACTTCCTGTACTTCCTTTTTCGATCGCATCGGTGCCCAAGAGCCATCCTCCTTGAACTGTATCTCATCACAGTCTGTGCAGTACTTTAGGATCTCCATGAACAAGCTATAAGAAAGTCTGTCCTTAGAATACCACACTGTAAGCGAGGACGGGTTAGAAACACTACTTTCCGAATATTCAGACCTTGCACGTTTTCTTCAGGTGTAAACGAGGGACACAAAGCAGAATAGGTAAGTGGGTCTGTTCTCAAAACCGAGCGAAGGTAAGCAAACTGGTGCATTCATGTGGGGAAACATGCAACCATGAAAAATGACACTGTCGAAGATTTCCACTAACATGGAGAAACATTCACAAAAACGTGAGACTAAGCAAAGGAAAAAAATAAACTTCAAAATTGAAATTCTAGGGCCGAGGATGTAGCTCAGTGGCACACGCACCTGCCTGGCAAGCGCAAGGTCTTGAGTTTGATTCCTGGCACCAAAAAAAAAAAAAAGAAATTCTATGTGACCGGCATATAAATGGCAGTTATCTTTTGGTTGGTGACTTTATGTGTATTTTTTTTCTTTGTAATTTTTTTTGCACACTGTAAACTGTCTAAAATACATGTCTTTAAAAAATGCATGTCTTATTTGATAAATTGAAATAATACATGTAAAAATATGTAAAGGAATGTAAATACCCTTGATAAAGTTATCATTCAGACATTAAAAAATGGTATTTACAAAGAATATATATAATTATGGTCAAATTTCTTTCTTTCTTTTTTTTTGGTCTTTTTGAGACAAGGTCTTACTATGCAGCTCAGGCTTGCCTTGAACTCATTTTGTAGCTCAGGCTAGCCTTGAACTCCCAGCAATTCTCCTGCCTCAGCCTCCTAAGTGCTGGGATTACAGGCATGTTGCCACCACTCTCCAGGCCTATGGTCAAATTCTTAAGTGATAACATTAAACAAAACCAATGAATCAAAATTATTCTGACTTACTAAACAATTAACTGTAACAACACTATTAACATAACAATTACGTGAAAACCAGAAAATTATATGCCATAAAAGCTTTTTATTTGCTGTGTTTTTAAATTTTTCTTTAAAAGAGTCTGTGTGTATACATATGACCTAATTTACTACAAGTGAGAACATAACCCTATATAACATACAGTTGGTAAAATACTACCCTCTTCCCCATGCTGGGGTGGAGCCCAGGGCCTTTGCATTGAGCTTTACCTCCAGCTTTTAATTGTTAAATTTATTTTTAATTAATTAGTTTTAATTTTATGACAGGGTCTTGCCAAATTGCCCAGGTGGGACTCAAGCGTTAAAGAAGGGCAACTGATTACTGGTTTTTATTTGTCTGTTGCAGTACTGGAGACTGCACCCAGGGGCACTCAACAACTGAGCTACATCCCTGGCCTTCTTTATTTTTTGAGATAGGATCTTGCTAAATTGCCCAGGTGGCATGGAATTCGCCATCCTCCTGCATCAGCCTCCCAAATAGCAGGGTAACAACAGGCATGTGCCATACATCCGGTGTAACCGATTATTGTGATGCAGTAGGTGGACAAAACAAAAAAGAAAGAGGAAAGAAAAGATAAATACAAATGGAAAACCAAAGGAAGCTGGTATTCAGTGCTGATGGGTTTTAGAAGCCCTGACAGTGGGAGACTAGGTATGATGGCCCATGACTTAAGTTCAATCTAATCTGCAGAAACAGGCTACTAAAAGGTTCCATTTTTGATAAGCACAAGTTAATCAGAATTCCGCAATTCTTATACGTGTGCTCCAGTATGGTCTGCATGTCTGAAGATAAATGAACTCGTGTTAGGAAAAGATGTATTTACACACTGCTTAGAGATGCCACACTGTAACATGTTCCTGCTAGCTTGAACCACAGGTGGTACGTGCGTGACTGCCCCACTGGTGGTACAAGTGGTACAGCCACGCAAAGCCACCCGGCAGGAGACACGAATTACGGCGCTGCCGTGAACGTGTTAAATGGTAAATGCGAGGAGGCACTGAAAGTAAAGCATGCATTTTCAAAACAAGGGGACTCGAGTTAAAAATGAAAAATATGTATAGCATGAATTACTCACTCTGGAAACACTGATTTCTAAAAAGGAATTAAGATGTGCTATGTACATGTAATATCACCCCTCGACGAATGTAATAATTATGTACTGCAAACATACACTAATAAAAAGAAATAAAAGGCCAGATAAACTGAAGATTAAAATCTTAAACAGCACTGAAAATAAAAATAACTGAATAAAAAACACTAATTTCTGCACTCTTAAGAAGTCTCCAAATTCATATTTAACTTAGAAAACATTACCAGTAGAATTTTATCCCCAATCTGATTTAAAAAAAATGCATATAAAGGTAGTCATTTGAAGCTACAAAGACAAACTGAAAAGAGACATACCCATCAATAATAAGGTGTTCGTAGGGAGCCTTCTTGTCACAGACAGGACAGACCCAGGTTGGCTTTTTCTCGTTCATCTGAATATAAAGAGTCGCGTCAAAACACTGCAGATGAGAACACGTAAGGGCCCGGCATGGAATGGTCAGCCGCATTTTACCAAGCTTTAAATGAGAGGGGAGAAAGAAGTATTAGACAACTGTTAAAAAAAATTAAGCTTTGATAAAAATTTCCAGAAACACAATGTATATGTTTTGATTTAAAGCACACTGTATTCGTTTTTCGTCAAGGTAGACGAACACTACACACATGCTCTGTAAAACCTATCTACAGGTTAAAACAGTACAGTATTTCTTTGGCCTATTAAGCACAGTGACTAAGCAAAGTCTACAACAAGGCATATCCACTCCAAATCAACAGCCTGCAGATCAGCTTTTCACAGCGCTGAACCCCTTCAAATTATATGCAAAAATTTTCAAGTATGTGCATTTTTCTGGAGAGAGTGCTGTTGAATTTTTGAAGGAGCCCTCGATCTGAAAAAAGTTAAGAACCACCTAACTAAAGATTAGGGAAGAAAAAAAAAAGGATGGCTTATTAACTACTGCAAGACACAGAGGCAGGATATTTACTACCGGTCTCAGCGCTTACTAAAGTATTCACAGGACAAAGCTGCCTCCTATCACCCATGTTCTGAGTGGCTGCTCTGAGGGGGGACGTGTGTGTGCCTGCATCTCTCCCCTTACTGGATGTCACCGGGGGCTGTTCATCCAGCATCTCCAGAAGGTCAGGAGACTTTCTCTTCCTGCCCTGCAGCTGCTAGACAGGCCGAGTCTACCCTATGGAAGAAGAAATCTACTTCATGTGGTCCCTGGGCTGCGAGCTTGGTGTGGTTCAGAAACCTGCACAAGGAGCTGCCCTACTGCCGCCGCTTCCCTAAAGGAAGCCTTGCAGCACGGTGGGGCCCAGTGCGCACAATGGCCAGAGTACACAAGCCACCCATGTTCAAGCCAAACTATTTGTCTGTGGTGGTTTGTTTGTTTTTTTTTTTGGTACTGGGAATCAAACTCAGGATCTTGTGCTTGCCAGGCAAGTACTTGTGCTGCTAAGCTATAGCCCTGGCCTAACAGCTATACTATTTGGCAAGTGTCCCAAAGACTTTCCACATATCTGTGACCTTGAAAATTGTAAAGGCTTAAAAGGGACATAAGTGAGGAAAAGATTCTTGGCTTAGAAGAATTTCAGGGAAATGTGCGCTTTCTTAGTCTACCAAGAAAATTAACTGTCACTTGGGACCCTAAATATTTTTCTGCGGCCAATGATTTACTGTGCCTCTAGGAAAGGCACTTAACCTTCCTGGTCCTCTTTTTCTATTTTAAATTAACACTGTTTCCTCCACACTTCAACCGGATGTAGTGCTGAAGAACAAAAGAACAGACCCTGTGTTCTTGCCCCCAGTACTTAGAAATGTACCTACAGCAGAAAGACAATCCTGTGTGCTGCTGAGACTCGGGTCAAACATGCTGTGCAGCTCTAAGAGAAACCCTCCATGCAAAGTGTGCGGGTTGTACGTAGCCCTTTATGAGGCACGTCTCAGCACAACAGCGGCCTCCAAACAATGGGATGGCAGGTGGTAGCAGATCAAATTTTTCTACAGATATATACATATATATCCCCCAGTGCTAGGGAGTCAACACAGGGCCTCTGCACTGAGATACATCCTCAGTCCTCTTTTCTTTTGAGATGGCGTCTCACTGTCAGCCATGCTGGTGTACAACTGGGGATCTTCCTGCCTCAGCATCCCGGAATGCTGCGGGGTTACAGGCATGAATCACTACACGAGGCTAAATTTTTTTGTCAGACCTTGACTGTAAAGTGAAAATTTCTACTGTATAGGTATTTTTTTATTATTGCCTTAATACTAAGTAGATTCAGGCTAAAAACTCGAGACAAATATGATAATAGCATACAGAGTTCATGAGCCACAGAGGCACAGGCTATTTCAGATGGTTCATAAAGACGATGGGTGAGGCAGTAAGTTAAGAACTGCTTCAGAATCCAAGCCACAGACTAGAATTTGTACTCTGTGAAGCAGTTATTCTCCAGAAGCCTTCCTTCCCCGCATCTTTACCCCCATAACCTGCAGCTGTCAGTTCACATCCTTCAGGGGAGAGAACTCGGTGACCAAGAGTCACTGCGGAACACCAACACATAAATGGTGCAGGAAGGATATTTATGAATGGCTGTAGTAAAGCAGAAGTTCACTTCCACATGCATTGCTGATTTGCTGCCACAATTTAAAAGGACAAAATATTATGTGGTAATCCCCATATTCCTGACTTTTTTTAAGTCACTAAATTTTTAAAAATCTATCTGACACCAGGCATGATGGCACACCTATAATCCCGGCACTTGGGAGGCTGAGGCAGGAGGATTGAGAATTCGAGGCCATCCTGGGCTACACAGTCATGGTGAGTTCAAGTTCAGCCTGAACTATATAGTGAGACACTGTCTCAAAATCAATCAATCAATCAATTGATTTGACAAATAGGCCATCATTTTCATTAACTTACTCTTAGGGAAAAGGCTAAGCTTTGAATATCTTCATCTGGTGATTACAAATCTCCCTTTTTCCTTCATAAGACACAGTGGATATTTACATCATTTGAAAACAATACCCCTTTGAAAACAACTATTAAATGTATTTCTAGTGCCACTAACCTTACCCTAAGAGTGCCATAACTGATGGTGCGGGAAGATAAAATATTCTGGATAGAAGTTTAATCCAGCTTATATTAAAAGGACTCTGAAAATCCTAATAAAATATGTACCTTTTTCTTGCAAAAACCAGGAAGAAGTATGATATTAAGAACAATTTTACAACTATTTTTGTAACAAGTATTTCATAAACAAATGTCTAGAGCACCCCCCAACTCCAAGTCATCTGTATCTGGGTTATGGGACTGGGTCAGATCCCACAAAGAAGCTTCTCAACGATTCCTCCAGCTCTATTTCTAATAAATCAGAACCAAGAAATTCTCAAAGAACTAAAACAAATTTAATTATTTTCCTTGCCTTTGGCTAAATGGCACACAAACAACAGAAACTCATTTATTCTGGGCTCACAACAAGACCAATTCTAATGCACAGTGAGAGCATATTTACATATTTCAAAGGAAACTAATCTCTTTTATTATTCTATAAACATGATATATAGACAAATTGTCATTGCTGTATTTTACTTTTGAGTAAAAACATACCTAAAACACATGGCCTTACTGTTCCTGAATAACTGTGAAGGGATTATCCCTTTAGCGAAATAGAAATTCATGGAAGCTTTTGTACTTATAGAGTGTGTATATAGTTTTTACTTTACAATCTGAATTTTGGAAGCATACGCCAACTGAGAATGAACTGCTAACACTGCTGGAACTAGACATGGAGAACTGCGGGGACATGGAAAGAAAAACTAAAAAGTGACCCATTAAATTAAGAAATGCCAGGGGCAACATGTAATTAACACTTTCTCATAGTATAGGGATGAACACCTCAACTAGAAAACTCAAAACCAGCTCCACAAATAAAATGTGGAAGATTCATACTGCAGTGCTTATTTATTTGAATAAATGCTTCATACCAGTGTGAAGTCCCATGAATATCACACACATCAGCATAACTGTACACAGTTTTAAAGAGAATACAGACAAGTCAGACTTCTCGCAGTGATGTGAATGGAAATTGAAGCCTACATACTTTTAAAACTTAGCCTATTCTCTGAATTTGGCTAAGACAAGGATCAATGGAAAGGGGTGTGGATAGATTAGGATTTGGAAGAAGATGAGAGGATGTGTTTACACACATGCTTATACACGTGTTTATACACACGGAGAACGTCGTCTTTTTCCCACTCTACTTCCCTGGTCTTTCAACCAATTTTATATATGTTAAAAACAAAACAAAGATATATTAACTGCCTTTATAATATAGGCTGTTACAACATTTGCCTGGGTCCTTAATTAAAGAATTTTTAAGAATAACATGAAAAGCCTGAAGTCCAAGTAGCTTCCTTACCCACAGAATGGCTATAAAAAGAGGAGTAAGAAGTTGTAAGAATAGGAAAATATATGCAAGATGACAGGGCTCGGTGGTTTTTATTCACTTCATTGCTTATTTATTCTGTAACTTGCACAATTTTTTAAATGAGCTGGAATTTCCTAAACGACTGCCCCTCCTCCTAAAAAAGGTCTTTTTTGGTTTCGTTTGTTCTTGTCTTGGAGACAAGGTCTTGCTAGTTCAGGCTGGCCTTGAACTTATGGGGGATCTTCCTGCCTTGGCCTCTGAGTCCTGGGATTACAGGTATGCACCACCATGCCTGGCAAAAGGTTTTATTTTTAAAGTGCTACATAAAAGTGCTGCATTATAAACTAACTCATGAGTCAATGACTTTTTTGTATTGTGTTTAAGATTTTATAAATTATAAAAGACTACAATATAAGACAAGTAAGATTTCATTCCTGTTCAAACCGTTTCTTAAAGAGTACAGTTCACTATGTTCTGATCTTGTTCTCTAATCATAAATTTTCTTAAAAATAAATGTTTTCTGACGCTCTTGATTTATTTATTTAAAAAGTACAGTAACTTCAACTGGGCACAACAGCACATGTCTATAATCCCAGCAATTCCAGAGGCTGAGGGAGGAGGATCCCAAGTTCAAATCCTGCCTAGGCAACTGTGGTGGATTAACAACTGGCGGGAAACTTGAAACACCCAGCTGAACTTAATCAATGCAGCGCTGGGTGCGGAAGGCCCACCTGAGGACTGTTGCTGGCAGCACAGAAAGGAAAACTGGAGAGGAAGAGGTGGTGGTGTTGGTTCTCCTACAGAAGTGTGTTGCACTGGTTTTGCTGATATGAACTCAGCTGTTTTCATTATCAGAGGAGCTTGGGTCCTCACTGCTGCTGAGGATGGCTTTGGTTCACTTTGGAGGAGCGCTGATTTGAGCATTCCTTCCTGGCTCTGGAGGGGAAGATGGTATGCTATTGATTTTCCTGAGAAGCTTGTTGTGCTGGTATTCCTGATATGAACTTGGCTATCTTCATCAGCAGAGTAGCATAGGTCCTTGCTGTCGCTGAGGATGGCTGCAGCTCTCTTTTTGGGGAGTTCTGATTCTTACTTTTGAGTGTTGCTTCCTGGGTCCAGTGCAGATCCCTCAGCTTGCTGGCAGACTTTCTAGCTTCCACCACTGACCTTTGGGCCTTCCCAGCGCAGATCCATGAAATAGACTTGCATGAGACATTGCCATGGGCTCTGGGCCTCCAGCTGGACTCGTGGAAGACACTGTGATGGGATCCAGGTCCTCAGCTGGATTTTTTGGGTCTCTAGTGTTTCGAGTGATTTCTTGCACTATTTTTTGCATTTGACTCTTTTGGGGACTATTATAAAGTAATTCTTTAAATTATGTGTCCTGTATTAATTCCTTTCCCTTGAAGACTGGCTACACCAGCAACTTAGTGAAATCCTACCTCAAAAAATAAAAAAGGGCTAGGATGTAGCTCAATGAGAAAGCAGCTCTGGGTTTGATCCCCAGTACCAAAAACAAAACCAAACCAGCAAAAATCCAGTAACTTCATCATCACCTGAAGTTAGTAGGATTTTAATATCAAAACTTTTCAAATCAGGCCTGACAATCCAGGTCAATCAGGAAGCAGTTGTGTCTTTCATTCTTTGTGTATTCTCTCTAGTTTACTTAATTACAGAAGAAAAGGCAATCAAAATGTCAAAGCCATCTATTAATTTTTCATATATTTTCACAGGAAAGGTTTATTCACATACAGTCCCTATTATTGGTGTACCTAATGAATTAGTTTAAAAATAAACCTTAACAGTATTTAAAAAAAAAATAAACCTCAACAGTATTTTGTTTTAGTTTTGCTTTCTGTGGCACTGAGGATTGAACCCAGGGCCTCTGTACTGAGTTGTACCCTTAGCCCTTTGTACTTTTATTTTATGAGACAAGGTCTCCGTAAGTCACCAAGCTGGCCAATTTGCCCAGGCTGGGCTCAAATTTGTGATCTTTCTGCCTCTGCCTCCCAGACTGTTGTGCCACTATGCCAAGCTTAACAACACATATTTTTGAGATTTACCCTCCACAGGTTTAACAGTTTGATTAAATCTGCAGACCATATATTAATTTTAAACAAATGGCTGTTTTACACTTTATTTTCTGGTTTTAAAAAAATCTTCCAATACATAACAACTTCAATTATTTCAGCTGACCAGAAGAGTTCTTTTTTGCTTTTTTTTTTTGTACGAGGACTCGAACTCATGACCTCAGGCTTGCTAGGCAAGTGCCTATGCCGCTGAGCTACATCCCCAGCCCTGGAATAATTGTTTTTAATCTTTGCCTTTTCTCTTTTTTTTTTGAGACAGCAAGTTATACTTGTTATAGCAAGTATGTAGTCAGGCGGGTCTAGAATTTACGAATAGCCCAGGCTGGCCTCAAACTTGTGCTGACCCTCCTGCCTCAGCCTGAGTGCTGGGATTGATTACAGAGGTGGGCCACCAAATTCAGCTTAGAATAGTTTTTAAATGATGAGTGTTTGTAGCCACTGTTGGCAAAATGGCTTAGTAACTATGGGTAGATTTTTATTCAGAAGATTACATTTTTTAAAGTGAAAGTTTTATAAGTATCTCAAGGCAATAAACACTCCTTGTTTTGTGATTTTTACAACTGAGTTTGAAAGACAGTGATTAATTGAAGGTAATATTTAGATGTCTTACTAAATGTAGAGAATTTTTTAGATTCAAATCCTATCCGTTGATAGTTTTCTCTTTTTTATAAACTAACAAAAATAGGAATATTTTAAAATTAAACTATAGCCGGGCGTGGTGGCGCAAGTCTGCAATCCCAGCACTCAGGAGGCTGAGGCAGGAGGATCATTCCAAGTTTGAGGCCAGTCTGGGCTACAAAGTGAGCTCAAGGCCAGCCTGAACCACACAGCAAGACCCTGTCTCAAAGAAGATCAAAAATAAATACATACATACATACATACATACTGTATTTTTCAGATACTGGAGAAGAGGAAATATACATTAAGCCTTCTTGAAAGCAAGTTATCAGGTAATACTTACTGGACACAGTAGAGAAACCCTTAGGCTGGTTGTAGCTATTTCACTGTCTGGATCTGCAGTCAATTTCTCTTTAACTGAAATTCATTGAAGAGGAAACAAAAACAGAGTAAGTTTACTAACGGCACATTACTGATGCAATATAGAGAAGGAGCTGAAAATAGGAAATGCGTTTTAAAAAGGAACTCAAACAACTTGCTCAGCTATCTCCAAACTGAATGGAAAGATAAAACCAACTACGTGGTTTATATTTTCAATAAGAAGCATAGGAAGTAAAATAATTGTTTTTCTACAGATTGTATTTCCTGTAGTGCTATTTCTCACTGCTTTTTAACCATATACATAATTATTTGAACTGTACATTTACTTACATATAAATTAATTGTGCTGTCTTGGGTTACTCAATCTTTTTCCTCGGCTGAACTTTACTTACAGTAAAACTTAACCAACACTAGATAATCTCTTTTTAATTCAAACTCAACTTTGGCTCTAAGAAAGGAAGCACAAGTAATTTTACTTCTCACGGCTCTCTCATTCCCTTCAGTTTAAGGGACCCTTATACTCCTCAGCCGCAAACCTGAGGCATCTGCTGCTAACTCTGAAGCCCTCGGTCACAACAACAGACAGGAATGCCTAAATGTGATATTCCAATAATTTTAGCATGCGTACCACAGTAACTTGAAAGTCTAGATTGTACAGGGAAGGGTGGGGGGACAAGGTGAAGTGGCTGATCACCAGTGGACCACAGAGTTCCAGAGCCATGGCACAACTAAGATTAGAGAGAGAATAACAGTAAAAAATACGGAGAGAAGGAAAAATTCTCAGATAAGCAAGACAGAGAGACTTCAGAATAGATGTCTACTGTGCTGATAATCATTGTGCCTTTACTAAAACACGGTGTTCAAGTTTTGGCTTTTTCGAATGGTCCAACTCTTGGACAGTCTGATCTACTTTCATAAATTAGTGGGTCTCAACTAAGACACACATTAAAACTATTTTTAGAGCACTCTAATATATAACTGCACACTGTATTAGAATATGGAAGACAGACACAAAGGAGTAATTTCTAGAAAGTTCCAGATGTGATTCTGGTGCCAGACTAAAAAGTTACTTCATGGCCTGAAAATTCCAAATTTAAAAGATTTTATGTATTTTAAAGCCTGACTTTCCAGGTGGCATCACAATCCCTGACTTAAAATTATACTACAAGGCCACTGTGATAAAATCAGCATGGTATTGGCAAAGAAAACAGACCTGAGGATCAATGGAACAGACTGGAAGGTACAGGCACAACCACAAACACACTCAGCCAACTTATCTTTGACAAAGGGGCCAAACAAGTTCACTGGAAGAAAGACAGCCTCTTTAATAAATGGTGCTGGAAAAACTGGCTCACCACATGCCAAGCACTGAATCTAGACCCATGTCTATCACCACGCACCAAACTCAAATCAAAATGGATCAAAGATTTAAATCTTAAAACAGAAACACTAAATCTACTAGAGGAGAAAGTAGGTAAAAATCTTGAAGACACAGGGGTAGGCAGAGAGTTCATGAACAAAAACCAAACTGCACGGGAAATTCTTCAAAGAATCAACAACTGGGATCTCATCTTATTGAAAAGTTTTTGTACATCTAGAGAAATCACCAACAGAGTAAAAAGAAAACCCACAAATTGGGAAAAAATTTTAGCCAACTGCCCCTCAGACAAAGGACTTCTATCCAGAACATATAAAGAACCCCCACTCAAATTTAAAGACCCAATCAAAAAATGGGCAACTGAGATGAATACATACTTCTCAGATGAAGAAATACAAATGGCAAATAAATACATGAAAAAATGTTCAACATCATTAGTCATTTGAGAGATGCAAATTAAAACTCTGAGATTTCATCTCACCCCAGAGAGAATGGCTATCGTCAAGAAATCAACCAATAACAAATGCTGGACAGAAAAAGGAAACCTTCTCCACTGTTGGTGGGAGTGTAGACTGATGTAACCCCTGTGGAAATCAGTCTGGAGAGTCCTCAGTAAAGTAGGACTAGAGGTCCCCTTCAACCCAGCTATTTCCCTTTTGGGTATTTTTCCAGAAGAATTACAAACAACATACCACACTGATATATGTGCACCCATGTTTATAGCTGCTCAATGTGTAATAGCTAAATTGTGGAAGCAACCCAAATGCCCATCAAATGAGGTATGGATAAAAAAGATGTGGTATTTTTACATAATGGAATATTATTCAGCTATAAAGAAGATAAACTTGAGGCTTTCATAGGTAAATGGATGCAACTAGAAATCATATTCATAAGTGAAATAAATCAGACCTGCATGTGTAAATACTGTATTGTCTCACTAGTGTAGGAACCTGCAAAAGTAAATAAAATCTGAAAAGTATAATAGATACTGTGAAAGGGAAAGAAACTGCTCAAAGGGAGGGAACAACTGGGATGAGGGAAAAGACAAAAAGAAAGAAGGGAAAAAATATGTGTATGTACACACACACACACACACACACAGGATAACTGAGTCATACTACCGACTTCTATAGCTTTATTGAAAGGAACAGTTAATGTTTAATTGTTTGATCAATTTTACATGCCTGTATTTGTTTAACTGAGTAACCAATTTGAAGATAACAATATGAAATACAATAACTATTGTTAATTTCCTATCACCTTGTCTGAAACTGTATTGCTTCTATTGTTTGGGTGGTTTTTTTTTTTTTGTCTTTTTGAGACAGGGTATTGTTATGCAGTTCAGGCTGGCCTTGAGCTCATTTTGTAGCCCAGGCTGGTCTCCAACTCGCAACGATCCTCCTGCCTCAGCCTCCCGAGTGCTGGGATTACAGGCGTGCACTACCATGTCCCACTGTTTGGGTGTTGTTTTGTTTATGTGTGTTTGTTAATGTGTTTTCATTCTTTATCATTTAAAAAAATTAAAAAAAAAAAAAAAAGCCTTTCATATCCAAAAGGCATAAAATCCCTGATTTTTAGTTTGGAAAATACCGTCATCATAACACTATGCTAATTAATATGTAAATTATGAAGAGTACGCATTTTCCATTATACACTTAATTTTCATTAAGCCTTTCTTATACAGATATAAACTGGGATTCTGACTGGAGTAAGAGATACCCTGGGAGCTGGTAAGGCAGTCTCTGGGTGTGTCTGTGAGGTGTTTCTGGAGAAGAATGACGTGGGACCCACGGACCATGCGGAGCAAGATCTGCCATCAGTATGGGAGGGCACTATCCAAGGAGCCAGGGGTGGGACGACACAGAAGCTGCAGACGGCAGCAAGCCACCGTCTCAGCACCCACTCAGCTTCCAAGTCCTGGGACCCCTTCTGCTCGTGGACATCGGACTCGGCTCACCAGCCTCTCTCTGGAGTGCAGGGCTGGCAGTAGTGGTGCCTAGGGTTCTCGGGCCCTCGGCATCCAGCTGAGTTACACCAGTGACTTCCCCAGGCCTGCGGTCTCCAGATTTGGATTCAGCTACCCTGCTGCTTCCCTGGCTCCCTCCATGGCCGACGCTAACTGTGGGACTTTTCAGCCTCCATAACTGTATGAGCAAATTCCCCTATTAAATCCCCTCTCGTTTATTTTTCTGTATGTGTCCTGCTGCTTCTCTCTAGAGAACTCTGACTAACATACTAAACATCCTGCGTGCCTTCACCAAACACCCGACTGGCACCCTTCTTAAGCACAGCAGCGGGAACAGTGACTAACAGAGCTCTGGGTGTCTAAGCTTCCACTTAAGGGGAAGTAAAAAGAACCAGGATGTGTTGTGCACACAAAGTCCCCACCACGAATGCAGTCATTAAGTATTACAAAGATGGACTAATAAAAATTTTAAAAATTAAAAAACCCTTCCACTTAAACAAAGCAATATTATAGAGTTTAATATCAGCTTTGTACAAACTAAAGCTCAGTGGTAATTACGAAAGAAATTGAAACAGGAAAGGCAACTTGAGGTCACGGTTAAGAAACAGGACATAGAGCCAGCATGTGTTAGAATTTAGCTTTAGTTGTTAGGTCAGTTATCCTTATGTCTTAAGTTTTGTAATCTGGTAAACAGGATTAACAGTAGCTAATCACATGTTTTAAGGATCGAGCTAATATATGTAAAATATTTTAAAATACATAATATTATACTTAGTAATTATTAAGTATTGTTTTACCAAAGATAACATGTAGTTTATAGCTTCACTTTCTCTCAGAGGTGACAGAATTCTCTGAAATTACTTTAGAATGTTTGCCCAATTTCTATTAAATAGAAAAGAACATGTTTTTTCCCATTACAGACCCAAGCCTAATCAACTTTTCTTCTAAAGGCACCTTTAAAGCTCCTACTAAGGTCTTGACTGGTTTGGATTAACCTACAGCTGAATTTAGAGAACTGCGCTATTAATGACAATTATGCAATCCATTAACACAGTATATCACTCCATTTATGCAGGTCTTAATCTTGCTTAGCAATGCTTCACAGTTTTCAGCACACGAATCTTGCACATACTTTATACAATGAGTGCCTAAGTATTTTTGGATATCACTGTAAATTCTTACTTGAATTTCAATATCCAATTACTCATTACTATTAGAAACACAGTTCATTTTTATTATTGACCATATATTCTCCAAATGTGCAAACCTTCTTTCTAGCTGTTTTGGTGATGTTTTGGATTTTCTTCCTCACCTATCCAACAAAGTCATCTACAAATAAAAAGTATTTTCTCACTTTGAACATGTATTTTGCTCTCCTCGTCTTACTGTGCTTGCTAGGATCTCCATAGCCATGCTGAGAGCAGATCTCCTTGCCTTGTTCCCAATCTTAGGAGCACTCAAATTTCTGACTATGAATGATGATACTGACTGTAGCCCTCCTGTAAACACTCTTCACCACCCTAGGCACTGTCCTTCTCTATTCTGCTGAGAGTCTTATGAATGGATGATGAGTTTGGTCACCTGCTGCTTCTGCATCTACAGAGATGATTATATGATTGTTCTTTTTTTTAGTTTGCAAAAAAGGTAAATCACATTGATTGATTTTCGAATGATGAATCAATTTAGTATTCC